AAAAGATTCCTGCCCTGGCCAGTTTGGCTCAGCAGTTAGAGCGTTGGCCTGCGGTCTGGAGAGACCCGGGTTCGGTTCCCGCTAAGGGCACGTACTTCGGTTGCAGTTTGTCCCCGGCCCTGGTTGGTCGTGCGGGTGGCAGCCACTCGATGTGTTCCTTCACGTCGATGTTTCTCACTCTCTCTCCCTTCCTCTCTCTCCCTCCCATTCTATCTGTACAAAAAATGGAAAAATATCCTCGGGTGAGGATTAAAAAACATAATAAAAATAAAAAAGATTCCCTATGATTGACAAACTGTGTCCAACTGGTGCTCATTGGAGCATTTGAATTGCTGATTCTGAGTACGCATTTTCCCTTGTAATGCTGATCACAATTCAGAGCTTGGAGCACCTTTTCCTCCAAAATGAAATTTGAATCAGGAGTTGATGCTGCCATATTCATCCGCTACTGTTTCATCCTAACACGGACCTGGGACTTGTGAGCTGATTGGGCACCAGGTATTCCCAGACTCCTTCCTTGAGGCACTTCTAGTGGGTCCTCGGGAAATGCAACTCCTGAGAACTCGGGTTTTATTTTTCTCAGCATGCTTCCCACACTGAAGATGCAGCGAAATTACACAAAACTCCCCCAAACGTGCCGAGGCTGTATACTGGCCCGCTCAGTGGCAAGGGGTTGGAAGGCGAAGAGAGACTTGAGTGGCTCCAGTACACAGTTGTCAGAGAGACACAGCTCAAGAAAAAATGAACTAGAAAAAGGCAGAGAGATGCAGATTAAATTTATGAAAAAACCTTGACTGCCGGCCTAGGTGAGTACTATGTTCTAAGATAAAATATGAGCTCTCCCTCAGTAGAGCCCACACCACTGCTCACCAAGGTGAACAGGCCCAGGACTCCGAAATTCTCCTGCCCCTCCTAAGGAAGGAGAAGGCAGCTTTGAGCAACGGCCATCAGACTCGAGATGTTTTCACTCTCTAATTCTGACAAGACCAGTGCTGGAGGTGCTCTGATTGGCTGCTCAATCCCTAGGAGTGGGCCATCTGACCTTCGGGGCTGTGGTGGAGTCATGTGAGATGGGGGAGGGGCTGAAAAACACATTCGAATAACATGAAATAATTTCTAAACATTTTTATTTCAAATCTCTTTTTCACCCCTCCCCAAAAAGACATGGGTCAGTACAGCAATCATAAAAAGGAGATACAAACACAAGAATCAAATGTCTCCCGCACTGACACTTACAAAAACCAGGAATTGTAGATGGGGTTCCAAACAGGACCTGCAGCAGCTACTAATGTCCCTTTACAAGAGTCAAACATGCCTATTAATACAATATGTACAGACACCCCATTCTGGAACTAATCTACAGGGACATCCCAACACCCACCCCTCTAGCCCCCAAAAAATACCAAAACACACCCAAAGTGCATTTGTTTTGTTTATATCAAAACATCTTTCCCCACCCCACCCTCAGACCCTCCCACCCCATTTAAGATTGGCCTGCAAGTCTATTTTAACCATTTAGTAATTTTTATAGCTTATGAAAATAAATTATACAGTAACTATTTTAATAAATTAAGCACAAAAAGGGAGAGGAAAGGAGGAAAACTAAACGGGAAGATAAAAGCCAGGCTACGCTTTGGCTTGGAGGAGGGTAGGTGTGTGTGGGGGGAGCTGGAGGTCAGAAATGGTTGCAGGGGATGTGGCTCCCCTCTGGTGAAGGATTGGCAACCACCCTAGCCCAGAATGACACCCCTCTTCAGTTTCGTAAAAACCACCCCAAAATGTACATCATTGGCTGTGCCGTGGGCAGCACCATCTTGGCCATCTAATACCTGGCCTGCCCACAGAGTGGTGCCTGGATGATGCTTGTCCCTTGGGATAGGTTCTGGGCCTTACAGTGAGAGAGAAAGTCCCTGTTCAAGGGAGCACCAGGGATGGAGTAGTCAGACCCGCCTTCCCGCTCCACCTGAGCTGGGTAGGGGGACTTAGGATGCAGTTCTGAGCAGGGCTGTGCAGTTTGTGACTACCCTGGGTTCTGATCAGGAGTGTCCTAAGCTTTCCTTGCACTCGATCTCCAGGAGCAACTAAAATCGCAGTCCAGCTGCAACCAGACATTTGTCTTCCACCATGGCTGGCTGCGTTTTGTCTGCCCCTTGATACCTCTTGGCATGGCAGAGGAGGGGTGAGAGACGGGGGGGAGAGCAGCTCCAGGTACCTTCTAAGTGAAATGAAACGCGTGTGAAGGCATGTCACAGACTCAGCATGCAGGACTGGCTTTCTGGGAGGCAGACGGGACAGGGAGGGAATGAGAGAAGGGGTAGAGAAGACAGGAAGGGAAACAGAAAGGAACTGGAGAGCACCTACCGGGAAGGTCAAGGAGGGATGAAAAGGACAGACAACATGGAATCTGCATGTAAAGAAAGGTCTTTCCCTGGCAGATTGGGAGTCAATATTTTAAATACAATTCATTATTCTATTTTTCTAACTGCAGCACCTGAGTCCCTACTGCCTCTGTTTCTGTGGTCCTACCCCATCTCACTCCTCCCAAGGCTTAGCTCTACGTCTTCTCCAGGCCTCCTGTCATTTTGTGCTGAGCAAGAAGGCTCCAATGTCAAAACAGGAGAGATCATGAGGACCAGCAGGCTTGACTTTGCCTTCTTGAGCTTTGTGGCCCAATAATCCTATCAAGATCATGGGGGGGAAGAGGAGGGTCACACTTCTATTTTTTTTCTTTTTATTTTTTAATAAAAAAGATTTTACTCCCCAGGAGCAAATAAATCATTTTGAACTACTGATAAACACTGCTGCAGTGAAAAGAAAGATGGCTACATGTATGCAATAGCACAAATTCAGTGTAAGAACAGCTGTGTTGACAATTAGAGATAAAAATCATTTATCCGTTCCCCCCTTTCCCACAGACAAAACCATGAGGATTCCCATAGGGAAAACGTCTAACTCAAAAGCTCCTCCCTTGGGGACAGAGGGCATGTCATTCTCTTAAAAGTGGAAAACAAATGGCAAGTCTCCCCACAATGGAGATGCTCTCAACACCCCAACTGGTGGCAAGACTTCTGCAAATGAAGACGCACACACGCGCACACAACCTCCAGACCATCCTCCAGCAGCCACTGCGCTCTACCCCAATGCCCAGTCCTCCAATCTCAGGGCTCAAGGCCAAGGGAGAGGCAGCAGGGCAGAGACAGATGGCACCTAAGGGAAAGTTCCTCCTATCCCCACACCCTACGGGGCCTGAGAGCTCCTAACAGGCCATGTTCTTTGGGGGGCTCCAGGGTGAGGCCTGAATGGGCTGGCACCCCAGGGCATCCAGCCCCGCTCTAGTCTCTCACACCCAAACCTGAGACCACTAACCACCCTCCCCGCTCCCCAGTTCTTCCTGGATGTACACTTGTAGGGGTGTTTGCAGCTATCTCAACATCATTCCCAACCTTAATGTGGGGACTACATACTCAGCTAAGTGGAAAGGAGAAAGGAGGCGGAGTATAAACCAGGCAAGCTCCCAGGAGGCTGATGGCTGCAGTCCTCGGCTCACATTCCAGTGAACGTACATTCACTATAACAAGACACAGGCAGGCGACCAGGCCAAGGTCATCACCCATGGCCCCAAACTCCCAGTGTCACCCATTTACCTAGTCTCTACACCAAAGCTCCCACCCTCCTCATTCCTGCGCTCCTCCCACAGCACACGTTTCAAGTAATAGCATGTCGCAGCAGTAGTTCACTTGCTCACAGTGGTTCACGCCATCCTGAGGAAGGTTACAGCAGATCTACCATAAACAAGCGGCAGTTATACAGGCGGGGCCTGAGGGTACTGACACTACCCACCCCCAACACAGAAACCAAGGAGGGGTCTCGTGGAGAGCCTTTTCCAGTTTGTGACTTTAAAATACAACTAAAAAGGGTTACGTACCCTCTGTAGACTGCATATCAACTCGCACTGCACAGAATTGGCAAAGGAGGGGGTGGGCCCGGCCAGGAGAGATGAAAGGGAAGAGCTAACCACAGGCCAGCTGCTCCTGCTCCGTTTACTCCCTGACCAGGCTGGTGCCCCCACCGCACCTCCTCCTCCATATCTCCTGACGGAGCCTGTCTCCCCTTGCACACCTGTCTCATGGCCCACTTTACTGAGAAAGGACTGGCTGGAACCTGGGCTATGTCTAAAGCACAGACAGATCAGACAGGTAAACACCACCCTTCTTAGAGAAAGGAGGACAGGGAGGAGGTTGGGTCTCCTCAGTGGGTTTAGATTTATACCTGAGTGCAGGAATTCTCCACCAGAAACCCTAGCACCACAGGGGTCCGGGGGCTCTGCCTCCCTCACCCAGGTTGCACTGATAGCAGAGTGGTCCTTGGCCACGGGCAGGAACCCAGATGACTCTGGCTTTGGATTCCACTTCACCATCGTGAGCCCTCAGCATTTAGATCTACCCATGACTGGAAAGTATGTCTGGACCACTGCACTAAAAATGGGTTCTTAAGGGTTCTGCTCTAACTTGGGGCTGTGCACTGTTCAGTATACACCATGCTGATTTCTGCTTCCATGTTTTTGGTTCATGCGTTTCTCAACTCATTGTCCTGCCTGGGCCTATGACCCAAAATCTCACCACCTCAGAGCTTTCCTACACCATCTGGTCTACCCTGATCTTACCCACAGAATTTCTTTAAACACAGCCCTTGATTCTCTGCCACACTGAGTCATCCTCCAATTGCTTCTTGTGTGACAGTCACCTAAAAGGTCCTGAAGGCCAGATACCATGTCTTCCGCTTCTTTTCCACAGTATCTAGCCCAAAGCCAGGAAAATACATATCAAAAAATAGTTTTAAAATTATGGGTAGAAAAAATGGTTAAAAAACAAAAACAAAAAACATTCAGGTAGCTGTACATCAGCCACTCAAGGATCCCAGTAGATCCCAGACTTCAGACTCTACAGTGGCGGGGGTGGGGTGGGGTGGGGGTGGGGGTGGCACTTTCTGCAAGATGGCAAGTTAATTTGTACCCTCAAGAGGACAGACTCACAGGTTAAGCCAATTTCTGGGATCACACTCATAACTGGTTGGTAATACTACCATGGAAGCCACGGAGAGAAGAGGGACTACCTGACATACCAGAGGTGGGCTGTTTATGTTGGACCGCTCACTTTGTGGGCCACCTCTTCAGAGGCAAGTAACAATGCAAGTTTCTTCCCTCCTCGGCTACGAGGAGGAAGAGTGGTCATCCCATGCAGGTCGTAAGGCAAAAGGCCAGTGCTCCCAGATGAGGCAGTCCTATAAATTAACAAGACACTGGGGCCTCACCCCTCACCATCAGGAAACCACAAACCTGACAGTATTATTTATCGTTTGAGATGAGGCAGATATAAGCATAGGGGAAGCAAGAGGCAGTCTAATGGAACACTACTGCAGAAGAGTAATAAAAACCAAACAGCTCCATTTTCACATCTCAACAGCAAACCTTTCCCCAGAGTAACTCGACAGGAAAGCAAACACATAATCTTATATGATTGGACAATGGCCTGCTTCAGAAAAAAGTAGAGACCACCGAAAAGCACTGGAGTTTTCTTCCCACTTCCACCTGGAAGACAGGCAGCTCTGAAACCAGCCTCGGACAGAGTCCCAGGGAAAGGTGGGCAAACAGGATCTGATGCAGGAGAGTGACCGGGTTGTCAGAAAGAACACAGGAACATTAAGAAGCCCTTGCTACCGCCCATTCCAGAAGGGGGATGACAGTGATAACCCTAAAGACAGGAGAAGTAGTGCTCTTCTCCCCGAGGGAAGGACATCCCATTAAGGCTGACACACTACAGAGCTTTCTCTAGGAAGAGCACGACCAGGATAGACTCGTTTCACGCCTTCCTCCACACTCCCTCTCACTAGCTGACAGACATGTGGAGGTAAGTAACACTGACTCCCAAGTCATGGGTCCGCTTCGCCATCAAGAATCTGGAGGCACGCTCCGTTAACTTCAGCGGCCCACAACTGGAGCTCTACTGCTCAGGTGATGGGAAAACGCCAGCCTGACAGCTGGCGGAAGCAATAGGAATGATGTTACCATGACCAGAGTGAAATGGACAGTTACCTGGGAACAGGTTGAGGATGGAGAAATAATGGGGCTAACTTGAGGTCACAGAGCTTAAAAAATTAAAAACCAAACGAATCCAGTTTCTATGAGGTGATTCTAAAATGAGGTCCCTAAATTGAACATGAAAGGATGTGAGGAGTCGCTACTTCCCTCAGCAGAGGCCATCTGCCCGTTTTTGTCCAGCAATCTTCTAAGACCACCCGCCTCCTTTCTTTCCTGCTCCTACTGAAGCTACTCATGCTTAGAGAGAAGCAGGTTCTCATCCCTCAGAAACTCCTAACTTGATTTGCACTTCTGACTCCTTCTCTCCCCTTCTTCAAGGTCAATGGTGAAGACTCGAACTCTGCCTTTGGCACGAGCTGCTTGACCGGCACTGGCAATCCCCTCCCCACCCCCTCCTTTGTACCTGCTCACCCTTCACACCACTTCCAATCCAATGGCCACAAACCCCAGCTGCCTTTAAGGTGAGTTTTCCACACCAAGAAATGTAAATATCCAAAACAAAACTTGTGAAAAAGAAACAGTGTTCAGACTTCTTCCAGTTGTTCAGGAGCCCGTCCAGTTCCAGGATAACAGGGGGTGGGATGGGAAAGGTGGAGCCCCACTCGACAGTATGGTTGTGTGCTTCTTCCAAGCCCCAGGGTGGCGAGGGAACCAAAGTCTGCACAGAGGACCCCAACCCTTCCTATTTCATCTTGTTTTTTTCTTGCTCCTCTTTACATGGTACCTTCATTTGGTTCTTCAAAACTGGAGCTTGGCAACCAAATGCCTGAGGAGAAAAAAAGGTAAAAATATTAACATGGTTCAACAGAGTGGAACCAATATAGAGTGAAGGATAGCCCAGCCTCTGGAGTATAGCTCACAAGAATGGAGTCTGGCTGGCCAAACACTTCCACAAACACTGTTGCTGGCTGGGGATGTAGCAACAGCCTTTGTCAGGAGGCCTGAGCAGCCTACAACCTGGATGCCAAAAAAAGGTTCTAAAATAACTAACCTACCACATTGCCTAACTTCCCTCTTTCCATTTCCCTTATTCTTTAATTTTCCACCTACCACCCCACCACCATTTCTCCCCTGAGGTCCACCTGCTCAAAGGATTTAAAAAGGAACTAAGGCCCTAGCTGGTTTAGCACCAAAGAGTTGTGGGTTCGATTCTCGATCAAGGGCACATACCTCAGTTGCAGGTTCGATCCCCAGCTCCAGTCGGGGTCGTGCAGGAGGCAACCAATCGATGTGTCTCTCTCACATCAGTCCCCCCCCCCCCCCACTCTATCTGAAAATCAATGGAAACATATCCTCTGGTGAAGGTATTTGGGGAAAAAAAAAAGGTGCTGGGCCCTGGCCAGTTTGGTTCAGTGGCTGGAGCACCGGCCTGAGGACTAAAGGGTCTCAGGTTTGATTCCCAGTCAAGGGCAAGTAACTGGGCTACAGGTTTAAGTCCCAGCCCCAGTCAGGGTCATGCGGGAGGCAACCAATCAATATGTCTCTCTCACATAGATGTCTCTCACTCTCTCCCTCCCTCCCTCCCTTCCACTCTATCTAAGTAACCAATGGAAAAATAACCTCAGGTGAGGATTGACAAAAAATTAGGGTCTAATCAGGAGCGACTAAAGCATGATGCTCGTTCGTTGACACAGGTGACAAGGCCAGTGTCACAGCAAAAAGACCCTGGGAGTTCAGTTCAATCCTCTGTCAACACATGACTGGCCCCACCTTGTGACAAATGGCTATCCCTGGCCTGTACCTGATCATGTCTTGATCTTTCCCATCTCAGGGCCTAGGCCTCATTGCCCAGAATGCTCTGCTTCCAGACCCCTTCATGGCTGACTCTTTGGTCTTCAGTCAGCTGAAATGCCACCTCCTCACAGGAATCAAAAACTTGAGTAGTATCCCATCACTTAATCACTAAACTTCACTTAGTTTTACTTTCCTCATAACATGTACAGGCAACTGAAATGAACCTGTTCATTTATTTACAGGTTTGCTGTCTGTCTCTCCCTATGAGAACTGCAGCGCAGTGAGGACAGGACCTTTGACTATCTTGCGCAGCACTCTATTCTCAACTCACACTGGATGCTTTATATATAGATATCTGCTGAATGAATTTTAAAATGGGGAATTTACTAATTCCTGCGAAAAACTCATTCCATTTTTGGACCTCTCTGTTAAAAACGTTCTTCTAAAATTGGACTAAAATCTAATTCCTTATAACCATTGTGGTCCTTGTCCCACCCTCTACAATCACACAGAATACATTTAATATTCTTAGAAAAATCCATCAAATACTTCTTTCAGCTATCAAATCCCTCCCACCCTAAGACTTCTTTGCTCATGTTAATCATTTACTCCCCATATGATGAAATTTGGAAACTTTCACCAACCTGAGCCTTTTTCTGAGTGTGCTCCTGTTCACGTGCGGCCCTCGGAGGGCACAGCACCCACAGAAGCATTGTTCTTACCAAAGGGCGTGGTCTGGCAGGTGGGCCTCCTGAGTTCCCTTCTTCCTTCCCACCCTAATCTCAACCACAAAGCCACCAAGTAGACAGAGAGATGCTACTAAACATTCAGGCATTTAGATGTTTTAAGAGATAATTCCAAAGGCATACAATTTGCATATAATTTAAGATACTTTATATCCAATCCAGGATCCTTTAAAATTCTGCAGCCTCCCAGAGTTACCATTTACTGATCTCTCCTCTTTACTCCTTCTCCCTTTCTTAATCCTTATTAGCCTGCTCCCCTCCTGTACTTTCTCCCAATAACACAGGACCAAAGACTTCCAGAGTCAAGGGGAGACACACAGTAGTTCACCTTAGCCATGGCTCAAGAAAACCCATGGGAAATACACACCAACTGTCACTCTCCCATCATGGAGAGAGCAGAGAGGGCGGAAAGACTAAAGCCTCTTTTCGCTCGAAGGTGGCTACTCTTGTGAATTTCCCCCTTTTGTTTTGTGTGGGGATTGGGAACGGGGAACTGAGAAGGTTAGAAGAAGATAAATATTCAGTGCTTAAAAAGGAAACTCCACACTAAGGAAAGATGGGGGCGGGTGTCATGCACCTATCACGAGAATGTGAGACCTTGCACATGGACCCACACTACCAAAATCACTACCCTGTGAGAATTTTGTTCCCTACTCACCTCTACCTTTCAATGTCCCCATTAATGAAAGTTAAAAGACTAATTAGAACTCATCTGCACAAACCAGTATTCTACAATGTTTTATGAGAAAATAAATGAGTAGAACTCAGTGTAGCAATGGGAGAATAGCCTCTTAGATAAATGAATCCCTTAGTTAGTTCACTTATTCTACTTGAACAATTTACTTTTCAGTGGCCAAATGGAACTCTAAAGGGAAGAGGGAGCTATTTTCCTCATTTTCCATTCTAAGCCAAGTGGAGCTCTCACTGAAGTAGCAGGCCTATTGCAATTAAAGGCATGTTTGTTTCCTTTGATGACATTCCTTTCCACTTTGGTTTCTGGCTTTGTACGTCATTGGCGCAGTATCAGCGAGCTAAGCCGAAGTATGAGAGAAGGCTGCACTTTGCTACACATGTGTATCCTCCACCTCCTCCATATTCAGTGGTTAGTCTGCACGTTGCTTGACAAAAATATTCTTTAAACCTCCTTGTCTATTGACTCTTCTCCAATTGGGGTGCCCCTTGGGGACTCCTTTATCAGATGTGGTAATTCTATGGGCAGATGCTTGGATCAGGGGTATACACACAAGATGGCAGGAGTGGGGGGACAAGGCCCACGCATGATGACAACGGCTCAGGAAGAGACATGGCTGGACAGAGAGGCAGAGAGCTCATACCCTTGGTGGTGACCAGCAGGACCCCTTGCTACGTGGACGGTTCCACCTCTTGCTTCTGTTTGGAAATGAGCTGCGCCTCCTTTAGAGACAGGTATACCTCTTCCTGAGGATCATAGTAGTAGAACTTTCGGATATAAGAGATCAGAGGTCTGTAAAAAACACAGAGGGATACCCACAAAGTGTCATTTACACCGATTATAAAAGAAAGACCACTTTTATTCAATTCTTCCTTCTTTTCAATCCTTATATGGTTGAGACTACACCAAAGACTCTGCTACTCTAACAAAATTCCCATTTTGTCATTTATAATAGTTCTGTCTCCTTCCCTCCACCCTTCATAGAAACCGCAGAAGGGAAGCTGACACACATACCCCTTCCTCCCTTCTGGCTGCAATGGGACCGTGCTTGAGTTAGGTGCCAAGACACGGGAGAAGTGAAAGGAGGATGCCTGTGAACACTGCGAGGTTCTGCCTGTGCAACTGGCTTGCAGGCCTCACTAGCATTTGTAACTAACCCTCCTTCCTGCCCCAACCCTAAACACCGCATCGTACTTAGGCAGTGGGAGATCCGGGATGTGATCTATCCGGACGAGCTGTCGGATTCGGAATCTGCAAAGGTGCTGGAGGGATTTGACATTGCTGAATCGGGACACTGGATAGAGCAGCTGGACTGGAGTTGGTGGCAGTCCTTCAAAAATGAAAACCAAGAGAAATATTCAGAGGGAACAATGCAGCTAACTATGATTTCCCTTACGAAGAGAAAGGAAATGGGCTTCTTTATAGTTAATCTATGTGTTCTGTGCAAAAGCTTCATTCCACAAAGGACTGCCGATTTCCATTTGCAGAAGCACCACCAGCATATTTCACTCAAGAGAATCTTTTCTTCCTGGCTGAGGGCTTCGCTAGCATCACTCTTAACAGCTGAGACTCTTGCTCTTCAGAATGAAAAATGCCAAGCTAGACTTCACTGGGAACCAAGTGGCCACAACCAAGGCCTGCTCTCAGGGAAGGGTAAGAATCAAAGGGGATGCTTGTTCAGCACATCTATCAGTACCCTAAAGGTAAGGACTCAGAAAGGCTCTTCAAAGGGGTAGCCACCAAATTCCAACTGAGGCTGGTAATCAGAAGGCAACAGCTGGGATCTAAGTTTACAAGCCTATCACTCTTGTCATTTACTTCAAGCTAGGACAATCAGGTTTAGCCACCTCTTATTTCCCATCCCCCAACCATCCTCTTGCTTCTGAAATTTTAGGCTGGTTACAGGGACAGAAAAAAAAAGGATGATGCTACTAAAAAGAAAAGCAGCCCCGGCTGGTATGGCTCAGCAATAAGAGCGGTGCCCTTGGACCAAAGAGTCTTGGGTTCGATTCCGGCCAGGGGGATGAACCGCAACCATGGTACGTACCTCAGCTGTGGTTTGTCCCCCCAGTTCCAGCTGGGGTTGTGCGGGAGACAACCAGTCGATGTGTCTCTCTCACGTCGATGTTTCTCTCTCTCTCTCTCTCTCTCCCTGCATCTCTATCTAAAGATTAATGTAAAAATATCCTTGAGTGAGGATCAAAAAAAAACTTAAAAGAAAAGCAACTATAGTAGCTCGGGCAAGCTGGAATTAGTACTACTCAGTGCAGAAGTGCCTGCTGACTGATGCCAGCCAGGCCCAATGGGAGCCCCACACCCTTATGTTTCATCAATATCAGCAGGCTCTGTGTTGGGAAATTCCAACTCCTCCCAAAGGTCAAGGCCACAGAATGGAGACACCCAGAATGGCAGGGACACTGAAACAGGTTCAAAGGAACAAAGACATCCTGGTTTCGATAAATAAAGGGGCTAGGAAACTACTCTCAGAAAGAATCTGAGTTGCAAAATCTTTGAAAGTTTTTCTCAGCCATTGTCCTATCAAAAGAAATTCTGTAGACACAATCTGTTGGAAAATACAATATCTACTATTCTTGTTTAGTTTAATTTCAAAGAGTTTTAAAATTTTGTTTCAAGGCATGAAAAGAAAAGATTACAGTTTGAAGACTGCTTCCCAAAGCCTCTTCATGGCAGTTGACAAGTGACTGTCTTAAAAAAAAAAAAAAAAAAAACTAAAATACATATTATACTATTACTAAGAAGTAAGCTTATCATAAAAACATTTAATTCATTTAGTCTTCAAAACTATACTTTGAGACAAATATCACTATTATCCTCCATTTCACATATGAAGACACTGAGGTCTATCTGTGCTCACAGCATAGACCCAACAGAGCTGTCCTGCCTTGAACTCTTTTAGTCTGAGTTAGAGTTCAGCCCAGGAACTTTTCAGGGGTGTTCTCCAGGACAGTCAAAGCACCTTGATTCATGACCAGCCTCTCAGTCCTCTCCTTCATGCCTAAAGTTTATATATGAAGCACTGTAGCCCCATCCATGTGGTCAGCCCTCTCCTCACACACCATTAAAAAAAGAATTGCCCTGGCTGGTTTTGCTCAGTGGTTAGAGCGTCAGCCTGCAGACCAATGAGTCTCGGGTTCGATTCCAGTCAAGGGTACGTACCTCGGTTGTGGTTTGTCCCTGGCCCTGGTTGGGGTTGTGTGGGAGGCAACCAGTCAATGTGTCTCTCTCACATTGATGTTTCTTTCTTTCTTTTTCTCTCTCTCTCTCTTTCCCACCCTCCCTCCAACTCTAACTGAAGATGAATGGAGAAATATCCTCAGGTGAGGACAGGAAAAAAAAAAAGAATTCAAACATGGAGTTCTCTCTTAAATATAAACGCAAGTGGTTTTAAGTGATTTTGGGTTCAACTGCCTCTTTAAATTTACCCTTTCTCTCACATGTTTTTAAAATATTCTTTAGTAATTTAAACTATGATAAACAGAAAAGCTTTCGAAGGTTGGTTGTAATATTGCTAAATTCAACATAATATTTCAGAGATAAAAGTTATTTATGTATGCCCTGGCCATACATAAATAATCACTGTGGTCCAGTGGTTAGAGTGGTGGCCTGTACACCAAAGGGTCCAGGGTTTGATTCTTAGTGAAGGGCACATGCCCTGGTCGGTTTGGCTCAGTGGTTAGAGCATCGGCCTGCGGTCCAGAGAGACCCAGGTTCGGTTCCCGCTAAGGACATGTACCCCGGTTGCAGTTTGTCCCTGGCCCTGGTTGAGTCATGCGGGTGGCAACCACTCAATGTGTCCCTTTCACGTCGATGTTTCTCTCTCTCCCCCTTCCACTCTATCTGAAAAAAAAATGGAAACATGTCCTCGGGTGAGGATTAAAAAAAAAAAGGGCACGTACCTGGGTTGCAGGTTTGATCCCTGGTCCTGGTAGGGGCATGTGCAGGAGGCAACCAATTGATGTCTCTCTCTCTCACATTGATGTGTTTCTTTCTCTCTCCCCCCAACTTCCTCTCTCCCTTCTACTCTTTAACAAAGTCAATGGAAAAAATATCCTTGGGTGAGGATTTACTAAACAAAAAAGAAGTAGTAAGGGGAAACCAAGTTCAGGTGCCATCATTTTTACCAAGGGCCCCTCCCTCCCCTAGATGCTAATTATTCCATTTATGCTAATTAATTTCTCTGCTTCTTATTTGCCACCATCCAGAACTTTCCAATTAGGCCTAGCTTTATGATTTACCATCCCTGGTATCTGTTTAACACCAGTCTGGATGCTCTGCTAGGGCAATCAGCTCTACATTTGAACCAGAAAAACCTGACTTTGATTCTCAGCTCTGCAACTCACTGTACCTCAGTTTTTCAATTTGTTAAAAAAGAGGGGGGGAGGGGGGAAGGGGGGAAAAGAGAGGGAGAAAGTGAAAAAGAGAGAGAGAGACAGACAGGGAGAGACTGTAATATCCTTTCAAAGGATTTTGTAAGGGTAAGTGAAATAATACCTGGCCCCTTGTGGGCATTCAGTTATCATCATCCCAAAGTCTTAACAAACAGGCTCCTTTTCAAATCTATTAAGTTAAAATCCCTGGTGCAGGATGACAGAGCGCCACGTAAATGCTAAGACCACCTCTCCTCACGCCAATTCTCGTCTCTAATAAATCAACCTCACGGAATGCCTAGACGTTTATGACAAGCAAAAGAGGGCAGCAAACAATGGTAAAGGAGAACACTGGCTTCGCCTTCTTTGTCCCATTCCTTCAAAGAGAGATCACTTAGGGTCTAGGGGAAAATATTAACTCTGTCCTGTCTTCTCAACTTGATTACATTTTTAAATGAAAATTGGTATCCTATTCATCATAGGTCCTAGAAAGACACCCACTACTAACAAGCACAATTCTGTTTTCTTTATGTAGTTTCCACAAATTCTAGCAAACTCAATTTTCCATTTGCTTACTGCTACTTCTTCCCATAATAGAGTGGTGGTAAATAAAACACAGGATTTGGAGTCGATGGGCCTGCGTCTGAATCCTGGCGTCAGCACTGATCAGCTAACCTGTAGAGTAACTTCACTTTTGAGGCTCAGCCTCAGTTTACTCATTGGCAATATGAAAACAGTCTTATCTATAAATAACAGACTAATCTTTTAGCTAACGAACTTAGAGAGATGTAAATAAAGAACCTGACAGCACTGGCTGGTTTGGCTCAGCGGTTAGAGCGTCGGCCTGCGGTCCAGAAAGACCTGGGTTCGGTTCCCGCTAAGGGCATGTACCTCAGTTGCAGTTTGTCCCCGGCCCTGGTTGGGTCATGCGGGTGGCAACCACTCGATGTGTCCCTTTCACGTCGATGTTTCTCTCTCTCTCTCCCTCCCACTCTATCTGAACAAAAAATGGAAAAATGTCCTCGGGTGAGGATCAAAAGAAAAAAAGAAAAAAAAAAAAAGAACCTGACAAAGTACTTGGACATGACAGGCACTCAATAATAAATAGTAGCAATTATCACAATCTCTAGCCATTAACAAAGTTAAAAATCTTATTTAAAATTTCTGCAGATAGGGCACATTTGTGGAATGAAATGAGCTATACTATACATGAGGACTCCAAGATTCCATGAAGTCTCTCAATAATTCCACAAGTAGATACATGCTCCAGAATCCAGAATCCTTTGAGAGGATTTCCTGGATCACTCCCAGAGTTTATTAGCCTGCCCCTGGTGATTACTGCTATGCCTTGTATTGAATTTAACATGTGCTATTACTTTTATCTTCCTATCTGTTCCCTCTTTGAGGCTATGAGCTTCCTGAAGACAGAAATGTGGCTTATTTTTGATACTGAGATATAAAATAAATGTTTGTTAAATACCCCCCAAAAGCTCTAAACTTTAAAAACTGCTAAGCAGAGTCAATTCCTGTAAGAAAGGAATTCTAACTTCTCCCTTTAACCAAGTCAACTGCATTAGACCAACCTGTGTTGACAGCACTGAGGCAAATACTAAATGAAGTGAGAATTAATATAGTCTGTACCATGTCATGCCTTATTTAAATCACCAAGATTATAAAACACATTTCTGTAACCTGGCTCAATCCTGTTACTGATGTTGTGCCTAAGGCTCCCCTGCAACTTCATTTTAGAGTAATTTCTTGGCACTTTGTTTTAAAATCTTAATTTGATTCAATGGAAAAGCATGACGTCCTCATTTTAAGTTCTGTTTGTATCTTACAAATGCTTCAATTAATGTGCTTGTCATTTTACTTTTCCCAACACTTGAAAGCAGATTCCTCCAAACCACCCCTTCTCCCCCTTCAATAGCTATTATATAGATATCTCCCTACTTACTGGGCAGGACGACTATGGGACCACACCAGTGAGGGTGGGAACTGCTCAGTGCTCCCAACTGGAGAGTTTTGTATACAATAATGGTAGGGATACAAGACACAACAAAAAGTACTCTTCAAGCAAAAATTTAATATGATGTGGACAAACTCTAGAGCACACGGCCACTGAATTTAGCCTCCTTGACCCTCACCATCGCCTTTCTAGTGAACACTCTTTTACCTTCCCTGTCCCTGTGGAAATGACCTGAGAGCTCTCACCTCTGTTCACATGCAAGTGTAAGATGCCTGGATCAGGGACAAGAAGACATCTCCGAACGTAAAATACTCACATGATGCCTGTACATCAGAGGAAGGTTCAGTTTTCTCACTCATGTGGTCAGAGAAGCAAAGATTCCTTCTCAGTATGTTGAGGGATTAATGTATAAGAATAGGGGATTAACCACTGGAATCTAGAAAGAGTGATTGCTATAAGAGCCAGGATAAAAAGCTTTAAGTAAGTGTGGCCTTTTTGGGGGGGGGGTGCATTCTGATACTATACTGGACCATACTCAAATAAGTTAAATAATTTTATATAACTACAGTCTTACCTGGAACCCTGGATCTCAAGAAATAGAGAAACTTCCCATTCTTGGAATGCATGATGGCTCTCTTAATGAACTCCACCACTGACTGACAGCGATCCTCAAACTTGGGATGACACCACAGGCTGAAAGTTCCTACCATGGAAAATTAGGAAGAGGTAAAAAAATGTAAAATATTTTTAAAAGATCTGAGAAGCTGGTTTGCACTCTATGATTCTCACTTTTCAGGCAAGTTAAGTCAAAGGTCCCTGAAGGCACCTGTTCCTGCTTATTCTACAATTAAAGAAAGATATTGCCTTTAATAAGACATAAATGAGGTCTTACAAGGCTTTTGTTAAAGTAAATAATAAATTCAAGTCAGAAAAAAGATATAAAAACACTATGTTGAATTTCTCTTAGCAATATTTTTTTCTGATATATCTCCTCAAGCAAGGAAAACAAAAGAAAATATAAACAAATGGGACTACATCAAACTAAAACGTTTTGCACAGGAAAGAAAACCATCAACAAAACAAAAAGACAACCTTGGGAGAAGATATTCACCAGTGATGTATCTGATAAGGAATTAATATCCAAAGTTTATAAAGAACTCATATACCTCAACACCAAAAAAGCAAACAATCCAATCAAAAACTGGGCAGAGAACCTGAATAGACACTTCTCCAAAGAGGACATATAGAAGGTCAATAAACATATGAAAAGTTGCTCAATGTCACTAATCATCAGAGAGATGAAAATTAAAGCCACAATGAGATATCACCTCACACCTGTCAGAATGGCTATCATCAATAAATCCATAACCAACAAGTGTTGGCGAAGATGTGGAGAAAAGGGAATCCTTGTGTACTGTTGGTAGGAGTGCAGATTGGTGCAGCCACTATGGAAAACAGTATGGGAGGTTCCTCAAAAAATTAAAAATAGAAGTGTCTTATGAGCCAGTGATTCCACTTCTGGGTATATATCCAAAGAAACCAAAAACCCTAATTCAAAAGAATATATACAACCTTACGTTCATTGCAGCATTATTCACAAGAGCCAAGATACGGAAGCAACCCAAGTGCCCACCAATATACAAGTAGATAAAGAAAACTGTGGTACAGAGATGCAAATTAAAACAACAATGAGGTATCACCTCACACCTGTCAGAATGGCTGCCATCAACAAATCATCAAACAAGTGCTGGTGAGGGTGTTGAGAAAAGGGGTCTCTAGTACACTGCTGGTAGGAATGCAGATTGGTGCAGCCACTATGAACAACACTATAGTGATACCTCAAAAAGTTAAAAATTGAACTGCCATTTGACCCAGTGATCCCACTTCTAGAAATATACCCTCAGAAGCCTGACATACCAATCAGAAAGAATATATGTACGCCCATGTTCATAGAAGCACTATTTACAATTGCTAAGATCTGGAAACAACCTAAGTGTCCATCAATAGATGAGTGCACAGAAAAGCTGTGGTACATATACACAATGGAATACTGTAAGAAATGCAGCTGTAAGAAAGAAAGATCTCTTATCCTTTGAGATGACCTGGAGAGTATTATCCTAAGCCAATCAGAGAAAGACAAATGTCATATAATCTCATTTATTTGTGGAATATAATGAACAAAACAAACTGATGAACAAAATAGACCCAGAGACATAGAAGTAGGGTACAGAATAACAAACCTCAAAAGAGGGGGTAGGGGGAGGGAAGAGATAAACCACAGAACTTATATGCATGTATGGGTAACCAATGGACATAGACAACAATGCTGGGGGCGGGGGAGGGCGGATCAGGAGGAGGTTGTCAATGAGGGAAAAAGGAGAAACATCTGTAACAAAAATAAATTAATAAAAAAAATTTTTAAAGAAGAAAACTGTGGTACAGCCCTGGCCAGTTTTGCTCAGTGGTTAGAGTGCCAGCCAACAGACCAGAGTCACAGGTTCGATTCCTGTCAAGGGTACGTACCTTGATTGCAGTTTGATCCCCAGCCCTGGTTGGGGTCATGCAGGAGGCAACCAATTGATGTGTCTCTCTCACACTGATGTCTCTCTCTCCCTCCCTCCCTCCCACTCTATGAAAATAAATGGAAAAATATCCTCGGGTGAGGATTAAAAAACAAACAAACGGTGGTACATATATACAATGGAATATTACTCGGCCATAAAAGGAATGAAGTCTTACCATTTACAACAGCATGGATGGACCAAGAGGATATTATGCCAAGTGAAATAAATCAGACAGAGAAAGACAAATACTATATGACTTCACTTATACATGGAATCTAAAGAACAAAATAAATGAACAAACAAAAAAGAACTATACTCATAGATACACACTGATGGTTGCCAGAGGAGAGGGGGATGGGAAGTCTGGATGAAAAAAATGAAGGGATTAAGAAGTACAAATTGGCCCTGGCCGGGTGGCTCAGTTAGTTGGAGCATCATCTTGTACACCAAAAGGTTGCAGGTTTGATTCCTGGTCAGGGTACATGCTGGGGTTGCGGGTTTGATCCCTGGTTGGGGAGTGTGCGGAGGGCAGCTGAATGATGTTTGTCTCTTGCATCAATATTTCTTCTCTCTCTCTCTAAGCATGTCATCAGGTGAAGATTAAAAAAAAAATATATATATATATATATGTATATATATATGGTAATACTATGTATGGTGTCAGATGAGTACTAGACTTATCAGGGGATCCCTCTGTAAGTTATATTATAAATGTGTAATCACTGTGCTGTACACCTGAAACTAATACTGAATATCAACTATAACTGAAAGTATTTTTTTTTAAATTGCCATAGCAAAAGCAAGTTTAAATGACACTCCTGCCTTAGTCCTGGCTGTTTTGCTCAACAGTTGGAGTGTCAGCCCAGGAATCAAAGGGTCGTGGGTTCGATCCCTGATCAAGGGCATGTACCTTGGTTGCAGGTTCAGTCCCTGGCCCTGGTAGAGCAGGAGGCAACCAATTGATGTCTCTCTCTTGACCAATGTGTGTGTGTCTCTCTCTCCCTCCCTTCTTTCCACTCTATCTAAAAATCAATGAAAAAATGTCCTCGGGGAAGGATAAACAATAAGTAAATAAATAAAATAAATGACACTTCCCTCAAAAAGATCTAAGTCTTCAAGTATTCATGGGACAGTCGAAGACAAGAAGAGCAGTTTTGTGGACATTAGCCTCTCATCTATGTGTTGGGCACAAAAAAATCAAATTATTGTCTTTAGCTTTTAAAATTCCACGTCCTAATATGTTACAAAGATTCCACCCCAAACTTTAGGATCCCAAAGGTAAAAGGAAATCTGAACTCCCATGACTTCAAAAAAACAACAAAACCCCCAAAACTAAAGCTCTAAATCCAAAAGAGTCACCCACAAAGGGGATACTAAATCACTCAAGAGAACTGCAGATCTGAGTCTCTCAAGCTACTCTTACAGTATCACTTAAAAAGACGAAGACAAAAGCTCCATTGCAAACTGGCAACTGAAAGGCCCACAAGGCTTCTATTAAAAATTCCATTTATTCAAGGAAGAAAAGTCCCTTTGAACAAAAAGTAACTGGAGAACCATTTGAAAGAGCTCTCTCATTCCTGGCATCTCACCTATCAGGAACCTAGAGGTCAAGCATTTATTCATCATTCCCATGGCTTAGTCATTTATTTTAATAAGTTTGGCTCAACAGTAGAGCATCAGCCCGCAGACCAATGAGTCCCGGGTTCGATTCCAGCCAAGGGAACGTATCTCGGTTGCAGTTCGTCCCCAGCCCTGGTTGGGGTTGTGCGGGAGGCAACCAGTTGATGTGGCCCTCTCACATCGATGTCTCTCTCTCTCTCTCTCCCCCTCCCACTCTATCTGAAGATAAATAGAAAAATATCCTCAGGTGAGGATTAAAAAAAAAAAATTCACTCTGAAATGCTTTGTTTGTTTTTTGGTTTTAGGAACAGCAGAAAAATAGGCAGCAGTTTACCCCACAATTATTGAACTAATTCTCAGGTCTTGAGGCCGAAGTTCCTTTCTCATCAAGCATCTCTAAGGCAAAGGTGGAGGCAAAGGAAACCATGGGCAAATCTATGCTGATCCTAACAGCTACTAGCTGCCTCACAAGAGAAGCAAACCAAATAAATCCAGACAATGGCTGAGCAGGAAAGACATGGTGGTGCCTCAGAAAAGCACCAAAAGAGACTCTTATCTGAGCTCAATGTCTAATACGCTCAGTTAAGGTGATCACATGTGGGAAGAGTGTGAGGGATGGGAGGGGCAAGTCCCCCAAACACCCCAAAGTTCTCTACGCTTTTAAAATGTATAGCATATGTAGGTATTTCAACAAATGATATATTATCCAGCCCTACCACCAATGACCATCACAAGTTTCTGGCCCAAGTCAAGTACAGAAATGCCCTGCAGCAAAGTCAATCCGGACAGCGGTGTCTAACAAGGCATCTTCTTAGATGCGACAGCAACATTAAGCACAACGTGACCACAGGGGAGAAGGTACCACCTGGAAGACAGGTAGACAGTCTAAAAGCACACTGATTCTCAGAGTTCTGATGACTTATTTCCTAAGAGACTACAAAGCTGACCAAGGGAGAATTACCGTCACCATGCTGACTGGCAGAAAAGCTGATGTGACTATCAAGCAAAGAAATTCGTAACAGTCCAAAATACTTTCCGCCCTGGCCAGTTTGGCTCAGCAGTTACAGCAGCGGCCTGAGGTCCAGAGAGACCCAGGTTCGGTTCCTGCTAAGGGCATGTACCTCGGTTGGCAGTTTGTCCCTGGCCCTGGTTGGGTTGTGCGGGTGGCAGCCACTCGATGTGTCCCTTTCACGTCGATGTTTCTCTCTCTCTCTCTTCCTTTCTCTCCCCCCCACTCTATCTGCACAAAAAAATGGAGCCCTGGCCGGTTTGGCTCAGCGGTTAAGAGCGTCGGCCTGCAGTCCAGAGAGACCTGGGTTCGGTTCCTGCTAAGGGCACGTACCTTGGTTGCGGTTTGTCCCCCAGCCCTGGTTGGTCGTGTGGGTGGCAGCCACTTGATGTGTCCCTTTCACGTCGATGTTTCTCTCTCTCTCTCTCTCCCCCCCCCCCCACTCTATCTGAACAAAAAATGGAAAAATGTCCTCTGGTGAGGATTAAAAAAAAAAAGGAAAAAATGTCCTCAGAATAAAAAAAAGACAATACTTTTAAATAGAACCCTTACTCTTCCCTAACTCTGCCTACTTTTCTTCTAGTAACTGAAACTAATGCCCATATCAGCATTCAATTGAATCTATGAGATTCTCTCTTGTTCACAATTCCATTTCTATCAATCCTTCCTATGAAAATGTCAAATAGCATGTCCTGGCTAGTTTGGTTCAGCAGTTAGAGTGTTGGCCCATGGACCAGAGAGTCCTGGGTTCAGTTCCCACTAAGGGCATGTACCTTGGTTGCAGTTTGTCCCCGACCCAGGTTGGGATCGTGTGGGTGGCAACTACTCGTGTCTCTCTCACATCGATGTTTCTCTCTCTCTCTCTCTTCTCCCCTCTCCCCGTCCCACTCTATCTGAAGATACATGCAAAAATGTCCTCGGGTGAGGGTTAAAAAAAAAAAAAAGAAAATGTCAAACAGCAAAGGTAGAGAAAGACTTTCCTCCAACACTAGCACCTCTTACCTCTATAGTGCTCCATTCTAGTGTGGTGGGTGATACCCTGTGATCGAAAACTGAGGCTCAGTATATAACGTGGATCAGAGCTGTCTCGTACTAGGAAAGAACCATCTGGCTTCCCTTTCAGCTTCATCTCTGCATCTTCCCAGTTCATTGGTCCCCAGTACCAACCACACTATCAAAGATAAAAAGTAGCCAGGTGGTTAACAGAACAGAGAAATGTCAAACTATTCAGCACAATCTATCTTACCACAGGAGAATCATACTTCCAAAACATTTTGGTAGAAAAAAACTGTAAAAGTGTCTCAACCCCTAGCAATAACCATCAGGCTCATTATACTTTAAGCCATCCAAAGTAACAGAATAACAATTCTACAATTCCATTATCAATGTCCTACAAAGGAGAGAAGAGGGACCTGAGTCAGTTAATCTGCCATAATCATCTTAGACTATGTAAACATTTCTCCACACTAATCCTTATCACGTTCAATTTTTTCCCCTCAAGATTCAATTTTACATCTTTTATAGTATTGGTAACAGTAGCATATTGTTTTGACATTATAAATATAGAGACAAGGAAACTACTCTGCCTCTAAAAATAATAACAGGGGAACCAAGTACACAATTAGGAAGTGGGAGAGGAGGCGAGCCTCCAGTGCTCAGGTGCCACCTACCTTCTCTAACTCTCGAAGGCTGGCTGCGAAGCTGCTCGAGTCGGGCCGGTAGAGGGGACACTGGAGGTGTTGCGGAGGCTGGCTATGCAGGGATTCAGCTGCTCGGATGGGAGCAATCCGGGGAAATGCATCTGCAGGGCAAGAGAGTGGTGGTTACTTGCTTACTCTCAACACTCCCAACCACAAGCAGACCCTCCCCCCAAAACAGAGATGCTAACTGAAGAGGGGCAAGGCATTAGAAGCTAAGCTGGAAAGGGTGAAAGCCAAAGCAGTGGGAAAGAGCTGAATGGGCTGGAACAAAAAGCTGTGTGGGCTTGTGTAAGCTGTGAAGGATGGGTGGGGGCACTGAACCCCAGGAAAGGGGTGGGGAGCTGCTCACTAACCTGACTAAGGTGACTACTTCAGCCTTCACCAGCCTAGAGCGATTCCAACTTCTCCCACCTCGAGGTGAAGTGCCGGTAAAGCAGCCTTGGAAATAGTGACTCGCTTACTTGCCCAGGAAGTGTAACGATTTTGCCAGGCAAGTAGAAAAGAATGCCGATTTCATTCATTTTATTCCTTGGGTACTGGAGGCTGGCAAAGCAGGTATGGGCTACTAAATGCTTGGTACTTATTTACAAGGCTGCAGTCAGTACTAAAAGCTTAGAAAAACCACAGAACTTTGAAAACCAGCAACATATTAAACTTCCTCACTGTCCTGAAATTAAGGTAGTTTCCTCAGTGATGTCTACTCAAGGATTTAAAACACAGTTTCAGCAGCAAAAAGATAAAAAATTCAATAGTCTTCTATCTCTAACAAAAATCAGATTCAACTCCATAAATAAAACGGGTTAGAAAAATCAGTTCTTGACCTCATTTCCAAGGAGTTCTGGTCTAGCCGAGGGGATAAAATTTATGCTTTCTCATAAGTTCTGTTATTTCCATAAATAGATTTCTCCCATCCTTCAAAAGTTTATCACTTTGTACTCCCGATTCTTGCAAGTCTTGCTGCTAAGCTAAGCTAACCTGGGGCATGGGGTGGAGGAGGCGGAGGTAGGGGGAAAGACTGCAGGGAAGACCCCATCGGAGCCACAAGGACAGATGTAGGCAGCGTCCCACTGATATCATCTAGAAGAGAGAACAAAAGCAAGAGGTTCAGAAATATGAGCACAGACTGAGCAAGGTGAAGCAGAGGAGAGGGAGAAGATCATCAGGCTGCCCTCTGGGGCAAGATGGCCTGACCTTCATCCTGTCTTTTTGCAGAGGGCAACAATCATTAATCTAGTTTCCTCTGCTTGAAAGCAGGAAAGTAAGGATATTCTTAGAGCGGCCCACTAGCTGTAGATTCAGGGCAAGACAAATGTAGATCTAATCAACATATGGATAGTAAATGCTACAGCATGTAGGTAAGCGACCTATTCAACCACTTAGGGAGATGATAGGGTGGTGAGAAAGGGACAGGAAATAATTGGTCCATCATTAGAAACCAGGAGCTTGTTTGGTTCCTGGCAAAGAACAACAGGTCCAGAGAGCTTCCCCTCCCACTAGGGCAAGAAGGCAGAGAGTGGAGGAGACTATACCTAGAAGGCTGAGGCTTCTTCTTGGAGGAGGAGGGGGAGTTGGAGGGTGTGGAGAGGTCAAGCCCCGCTGAGAGATGTCCACATCCACAAGCGACACTGTTTCACCTGAGGAATTCATGGAGCAAGCATGTTATAGAGCACCCTGCCCAAAGCTGAAGCCAGAGCAAAGGAAAGCAAAGGGCAAGCAAGGGAAGTTAGAGATCCATGGCTCTCAAAATCTAATGCTCCCAGGGCTCCAATCACCCCCTACCTCAAACACCTGGGGAGTCAATTTTAAATTCTATTTCTTTGCCCTGTAATGGTCAAGGATCCTTTTTTTTTTTTCAATTTATCTTCAGATAGAGCAGGAGGGAGAGAGGAGGAGGAAGAGAGAAAGAGAAACATCGATGCAAGAGAGACACATCGAGTGGTTGCCACCCACACGAACCCAACTAGGGCCAGGGACGAGCTGCAACCAAGGTACGTGCCCTTAGCGGGAACCGAACCCGGGACTCTCTGGTCTGCAGGCCGACACTCTAACTTCTGAGCCAAACCGGCCAGGGCTGGTCAAGGATTCTTTAGGACAAAAACATGGGCTTGATAGTGGAAAAGTCAACTAATTGCGGTTCTGCCACTGATAATATAAACCTTGACCAAGCAGTCTTCTTTATTCAAATGGAAACAACATCATTTATCTTATCTTTACAGACTTTTATACCAATTTCTGCCTTAAGGAGCAAGGCAAGCAGCTTGTTACAAGCCCAAACAAGACATAGAAAGCAAGTGCAGAAAAATGTAAGAACTTAATGGTACAAGCAGATAAAGGTCCCAATGTTATCCCCAACTTCTTCCTACATGGTTTTTCATGTCTAGAGTTTTCAGAATATTCACTCATAAGAGAACCATTTCAGATACCAATTAGTTCCTAATAGCTGAGGCTACAATGGTTGAAAAGTACACTTACAACCTTAGTAATTAACTACTTTCACAGTCAGCCAAGTGTCAGGTAAGATTAGTGGAAGTTTCTCAGTAGGAAGTTGGATGGGTAAGTGGTGGGGGGTGGGGGATAGGTGGCATGTGGTTTCTTTTTACTTCCCAACATGCCATGCAGTTGTTCTTTGCCATATACATTCTTTCTTGCCGCCCAGCCCTATCTACTGTCTCTCCATTGAGTCACCAGAGAATGAAGGGTATTTTATTCCCTAAGGTGGGCAGCCAAAAATATGTCAGAACTCAGGATTTCTCTAATTTGAGAGTGTTATTACCAACACCTTTTTCTTATTCAGGAGGCTGAATTAGCTCCTCAGCTAGATTTCATTATTATTATTTTTAGAGACATTGGTCTTCAATGGGTCAGGAGCTAGGGTTTCAGAATCTAATACAGAGTTGTTTTTTTGTTTGTCTTTTACAAAGTTCTTGAACACTAATTAAGATATGCAGAAAATCTCTTCTAAAAGTCATCAGTGGGCCCTAGCTAGTTTGGCTGAGCTGTTAGAGTATCAGCCCGAGGACCAAAGAGTCATGGGTTCGATTTCGGTCAAGGGCACATACCTAGGTTGCAGTTCGGTCCCCTGCCCTGGTCAGGGTTATGCAGGAGGCAACCAGTCAATGTGTTTCTCTCACATCAATGTTTCTCTCTCTCTCCCTCCCACTCTACCTGAAGATAAATGGGAAAAAATATCCTCAGGTGAGGATTAAAAAATAAATTAATTAATTAATTAAATGAATGAATGGATAAATAAATAAATAAATAAATAAATAAATGTTATCAGTGGAAGTTCTAGGAAGCTGGTATATACTGGACTTATCACATGGCTGAGTGAGAGCCTAGCTGCCCAGAGCAATGCAATGAATGCAGACAAGTGGGCTTCCTAAAGGGGCAGAGATGTCCAGCACCTCAATAAAAATATGTAATTCAGCCCTGGCCAGTTTTGTTCAGTGGTTAGAGCGTCGGCCTGCGGTCCAGAGGGACCTGGGTTCAGTTCCCGCTAAGGGCATGTACTTCAGTTGCAGTTTGTCCCCGGCCCTGGTTCAAAAGAGTTTGAAATTGAGTGTTTTTTTTAAAGGCTTCTCAGTCACAACCAATGAGTACTCAGTTTCTGAGACTTGAGGCAGTGTGCTGAAGACCTTCTTTTTTTAATCCTCACCCGAGGATATTTTGTCCCTATTTATCTTCAGATAGAGTGGGAGGGAGGGAGAGAGAGAGAGAGAAACATCAATGTGAGAGAGATGCATCGACTGGTTGCCTCCCATACAACCAGAGCCAGGGACCAAACCGAAACTGAGGTACGTGCCCCTTGACCAGAATCAAACCCGCGACTCTTTGGTACGTGGGCCGATAATCCAACTGCTGAGCCAAACCAGCCAGGGTGAAGACCTTCTTTTTATACAGCTTATTCAAGAGGGAGCTTCACATCTGACTGACATAACCAAAGGTCTCCCTTGAAACAGTTCCCCGTTAAAGAGAAGAAAGTTGTCCAGCCGGTGTGGCTCAGTGGTTGAGCGTTGACCCATGCACCAAGAGGTTACCAGTTTGATTCCTGGTCAGGGCACATGCCCAGGCTGTGGGGCAAATCCCCAATGGGGGCATGCAGGAGGTGGCCGACCAATGTTCTCTCTCATTGATGTTTTTCTCTCTCTCTCTCCCTCCCTCTCTCTCAGAAATCAATAAAGAAATAAAACGAAGTAATAAAATAATAAAATAAAATAAAAAAGAGCCCTGGCTGGTTTGGCTTAGCGGTTAGAGCATTGGCCTGCAGTCCAGAGAGACCCGGGTTCGGTTCCCACTAAGGGCGTGTACCTCGGTTGCAGTTTGTCCCCAGCCCTGGTTGGTCGTGCAGGTGGCAGCCACTCGATGTGTCCCTTTCACGTCGATGTTTCTCTCTCTCTCTCTCTCTCCCTCCCACTCTATCTGAACAAAAAATGGAAAAATGTCCTCAGGTGAGGAAAAATAAATAAAATAAAAATAAAATAAAAAAATAAAATAAAATAAAATAAAAGAGAAGGAAGTTGCCCAAAGGATACTCAACCGCTTTCCTACTTTAGCAACTATGTTCCTTCCTACAACAGAACAGACTTAAATTAGATACAACAAAGAACTCCAACAGCTGCAAGAATTGCCAGCCCTAAAATGGGTAAGATAAGAGTTCATGTAATACCCTTTGCCCAAAGTCTTTAAAAATAGACCAGATAACCATGGGTCATGTTTATTAGATAATCCATGAACTCCCTTGGAGCAGGGACAGGAATTGTATGACTTCAGTGAGTCCTTCATGCACTATGAACCTATAAATTTATAATTCTTCCTTTTAATTTATATGTGATGACCCTGAACTAAGCACTGCATAACTGCCAGGGCCACATAATTACCAGCAAGCAAGTCACTACTCAAACTATAAAGTAGCCAAAGTCAAAAACACATTCTGCACCATAAAAATAGCCTCACCCCAAACCCAGCAGGCAGAGAATGAAGAAAATAACTGCAGACATGCCTGAATCTCCCTCTGCGATGCATCTGTGTTTCCTGACAGGTCTCAGAACACTCCTGCTTTCAGATGTCAGAAAAGAAAGAGATCACCCTTACCTGTGAACAGGGGGCTGAAGGAGACTGGAGAAAAGGCACTTTGAGTTCTTGTCAACCTGGGTTTCCTAGTGGGTGAGAAAGCAGAGAGAGAGAGTAAGGGAGGGGGGCACGTTTAAAGCACTATAATACTCAATTCCACATGCCCTGAAAAGCAACACAAACCCTAGTCGTTGTCAGCAACACTTTTATAATAATAAAGCTTCAAATTTAAAGGGGGAGAATAAAATAATTAAGTCAATTCCTTAAATAGATCTGGCTACAGAATTCACCAGCCTACAAAGCAATGAGAAATCCCTTTGGATCTCTCCACACCTGGCACATTTTAAAGGAGTAAAACACCTTGAGTGATAATTAGCAAGTCCATTTCTAGAGTAAAGAAGTCAGAAGAAGAAGACAGTTAATTTTCATAAGGAAACCAAGAAAAAGGCTACTGATCTGATAAGGTGCCACCTCAGAGTAACAGCTTTCCCGTGGGGCTTGCCATTGGGAGCAAGAGGTCCCAAAGTGAACCAGGGTAGTATTTGGACTTGACACCAGCACTACCAGGATGCACATGTAATCTTCAACCACTAAGACCTCTGATTTCTGCAGAAATGTTCCCAAGCCATGATTAAAACCATCAACTAACAAGGGGACTTCCTCCAGTTAGGGGGTCTGCTAGCCACACAAACGAAATGGCCCCTTCCCCTCTCTGAAATGCCAGTCACATAGCTCTCCCCATGACTTCTCCTTGATGCTGCTCCAGGTGACCAGCTGGAAAACCCAGTTCTCCTGTGAAAAGCTACACAAAAGGTAATTTTGCTTTGTACCAATTTCAATTGGCTTTTCAGAGAGAGATGAAAAAAATAAAAAGACTGACAAAGACTTTCTGGCTAAAAATGTGCTAATTTCAAAATATTCACCTCAGGATAACTGAAATGACAACTACTAGGAAAAGACTTGTGGAGGTGATAAAAATATGCTATATCTTGATTGTGGTAGAGATCATGATGACTATCTACATTTATCAAAATTAACAGAACTGAACACCTAAAAAAGGTGAGTTTTAGGTGATATATAAATCATACCTCAATAAGCCACATACACACACACACACACGTACATATATACACACATCTCACACACACACACACACTTTTTTTTATCCTCACCTGAGGACATTTTTCCAATTTTAGTTCAGATAGAGTGGGAGGGAGGGGGAGAGAGAGAGAGAGAAACATCAACGTGAAAGGGACATATCGAGTGGCTGCCACCCGCACAACCCAACCAAGGTACACGCCCCCAGCGGGAACCGAACTGGAGTCTCGCTGGACCACAGGCCAAAGCTCTAACTGCTGAGCCAAACCCGGCCAGGGCCATATTTTTTTTTTAGATTTTTTTTTTCTTTATTGAGTTTGAGAGAGAGAGATAGAAACATCAATAAGAGAGAACGTCGACTGACTGCCTCCTGTGTGCCCCTCACTGGGGATTGGGCATGTGTCCTGACCGGGAATCAAACCAGCGACCTCTTGGTGCATGGGTCGATGCTCAACCACTGAACCATACGGGCAGGACTAAACCAGACTTTTAAAAAACTCCCAGCACTTCCATGACCGGTTTGATTCAGTGGTTAGAGCATCAGTCTGCGGACCAATGAGTCGCGAGTTCAATTCTGGTCAAGGGCATGTACCTCGGATGCGGTTCATCCCTCTCAGTCTATCTGAACAAAAATGGAAAAATATCCTCAGGTGAGGAGTAAAAAAAAAAAAAAAAAAAAAGTCTAATGATTAATGATGGTGCACATTGTAAATGTCCCATCCATGGCACCCATGGGAGAGATGGCTACATCAAAACAAGACACAAGCACACACAGTCCTTCTGTTTATAAAAGTTGCTCATGACCGTCTGTAGCTTAGTTCCAGCACTCCAGAGGGCTGGATTGGAAAGATAATTCCACTGGACATGAACTTTAAGACTGAAGAGCTTCCAAACTGATTTTTATTTGATAACTGTGGGTACAATATTAAACTCAGCAAGTAGAAACCTAAAGCACTGGCCTTTCAAAGGGTTCACACCTCAGCTACTTGGCTGTTTGCCTCTTTTCAAAGGAAGCTGCATTACTTTGCCATCTGCCCATGCTGGGGACAAATCTCTTCAGTGCCAAGTACTGAAGAATGGCAGTACCCAAATGCACACAGCTTGCGGAAGCCTTCTCACTCCACCTCATCTTCTCCCCACCCCCAGCATTTTGATGAAGAAAATCACAGTTTCTAGAATCTGGAAAAAGAAATACATATGAATCTAAACCCAGGCAGAGCCATTTAAGAGCCCTGAAATGGTTTTTTTCCTGGAAAATAAGGGGACCTCAGAGCTGGAAGCTCGGAGAGGTAGAAGCTCTAAGAGGCTGAAAGGCACCCTGGCCAGTTTGGCTCAGTGGTTAAAGTATCAGCCCGAGGACCAAAGGGTCACGGGTTTGATTCCTAGTCAAGGGCATGTATCTGGGTTGCAGGTTCAATCCCTAGCCCCAGTTGGGGTTGTGTGGGAGGCAACCAATCAATGTGAGACACACTGATGTCTCTCTCTCTCCCTCCCTCCCTCCCTTCCACTCTATCTAAAAATCAATGGCAAAAATATCCTCGGGTAAGGATTACCAAAAACAAAAAACAGAGGCTGAAAGGCTAATAGTAAATGAGTGTTTCTTTCTCTCTTCAGGGAGATGCTGTCTAACTGAAAATCCAACGCAGTTTCTGTCTCAAGGATCCTGAGAGCATTCTAATGGCAGTCACTCATGAAAAGACCAATCTCGATGACTATAATAAAACAAAGCAAGGGAATGATTAACATGAAATTGAGGATGGTAGTTATGGTAGCTGTGGAGATGTAATCAGGAAGCAACACACAAGGGTCTTCAAAGGTAACTGATAACATTCTATCTGCTAAGCTTAAAGATGAGTACCTCGGTATGCACTTATCATTACAGTGCACACACTTTATATACCTCGTTTTGTATATTTGAAACATTTAAAATGATAAAAACCCTTCTAAGCTGAATGTGCTGTTATTTTGGAGAGCATCATGAATGCTACCAATAACATTTGTAACTAACCTTTCTATACCACATTCCCATGTTATTTTATTCCTCCCCAGATCACCTTGACGAGCATTAAGGTGCAAAGTTAAGCCACTGTAACTGTGCCAGGGGGCACATGCATCTTAGTAGCAGAAAGACTTGGAGGGTGGGATGCAGTAGGATTTGGTGGGCTATGTCTCAGATGGCAGTACAGGACAGGGTGGCAGAAGACCTTAGGCAAAGGTCTTTTTTGAGGCTCAGCAGCCCTTGCGTCAGCTGTGCATCGCCCGTGCTGCAGGTAACAAAGAGACAGAATGTCCTGTCCATTTCCACACTAAAAATTGCTAATTGTATGGCAACAGATATGTAGGATAAAAGGAGTTAAAAGCATTAGACTAGACAGGACAACAACACACTGATATAACCATTGGCTACTTTTCAAATTCCCTGAAATCTAAAATATAAACAATTAAATAGCAATGCCCTCCCTTTCTTGTCCATTAATCTCCTCGTCTGATGTCCTAAGACTGACACATGTTCTTTTCTAAAGTAACTTCCAAACAAGAATGTCCAAATATCAGGATTTACAGCCACAATTTACCTCTGCCCCTACGAAAGCACACAGTGCCAAGTCAGCCAGCCTGTGCCATTTTCAACACGTCATGAGCCAGTGTCTGTTCATGTGCTACAGGCACAAAAACCATGTGTTCATTTTTAGTTCCAATACACAGACATCTGTGCAGCAAGGTCAGATCCAAAACTTCACTATAAACCAACTAAAGAACCTATGGAGGGAACTTCCAGGGAAAACCCAAGAGGTGTAGTCCAAGGTCTAAAACCTTAGGAATGATGTTAGCAGGGAAAATATTAAGAAGTGAAAGATACAAGACTCAAATGGATAGATATTTCTGAAGCCAGGCTACTCATTCCAAAGAGAGCTGCCAACCATAATCACTTTGTGAAAAACAGTCAAAAAGATCAATAGAATATGGACCCAAAACTCAAACATAAGAGTCAGAACTTCCTCATCACACCATTAAATCATTTTGCTCTCAGCATATCATGCTCTCTCTTAAAACTACCCCCTTGGACCTGAAGACCCAAGGAAACAGAGAAAGAGTTTCTCATGTTTGCCAAGTCTGTCCACAACAGCAGGGTCCCAAACTGATGCCAAGGCAGACTGCCTCTCTTTCCAGAACCATATCTTTTTTCCCAAATAGATAGGAAACCACTACAGAACTGTTCTCCATTTTCCACCCCACAACTATAAAGATCGATGGTAACAGCCTCAACTGTTAACTCAGAAAAAAAATAAACCTTAAAAAACTGATAGGGTAAGGACACCTAATAGTAATAGGACCACAGCTGTTTCATGATTATTCACCTTACTAACTATAGATAACAGGTTTTCTTGTAGACCCTGGGGAACTGGAGAATGTGTTGCAAGAAGAAAAACAGGGCTCTAAAAAGATAAGACGCCTCGGAGCCCAGATGAGGGTCCATTACTCAGAAAAGAAAATACATCTTGAGAACAAACCAAGGACATGATACACTTTGACCTGGTTGCTGTGCCTGGACCCTGACCACCTCCAGGAGTTTGCTTCAGGAATGCTGACCATTCTCTCTGGTCCCAGGAATGGGCTGAGCTTTTTTTAACATCATAGAAAATTAACTACCTTGTTATCAGAATTCAAGATCCTGGAAGGAGACACACGGACCACAGACCATGGACCCTGCAGCCCTTAACCTGTCCCCCTTTTCCCTTGCATGTGACCCTTCTTCCTTATCCCTATATAATCAGCCAGCTAGTAGGAGATGTTAGAGTAGAAATTTCAGGATGACCTGCTGTTCACCCCATACTGCTGGCATTATTGGAATAAACGCTCATATGATTCAACCCTGTCTCTGTTTAATTTGGCTCAAGTAGTGACAGGCAGCTTCGGACCCGTTTAGTGTCAGTATCAAAATGAACAAGGTACCCATTTCCAACCAAGTGTGTATTATGTGATCGTTCAAACATAGTCAGATCAAATGCCATTTCCCACCAAATATAAAGGAAGACAGACAATCAGCTCAACATATGTGAAACAGAAATGAGAACTTCACTGGTTTTCCTGAAATAGCAATTCTATATTACACTGAAGCCCACAGGCATCAAGCCCAGCTCTGTGAATTCAACATATGTGTGAAAGGCCTAGCCCAGTTCTCCACAACAGAAATCTGATTAGTTGGTGGGCCCATGTCTTCCTTTGCTTCAAAAGAGTTCTCTAAGCTAACTCATACTAGACTTAAGACTCAGAATATTCAGGCAGGTCCACTTACTACACTCTAAAGCATCTGAAAGGAAATAGTTTTATTTAATGTTAAAATATGGAAAGTGCTTATGCGTAACCAATGGACATAGACAACAATGCTGGGGAGGGAGCGGGATGGGGAGGAGGGAGTCTAGGGGGAAAAAGAGAGAAACATTTGTAACAAAAATTAATAAAAACTGCAAAAAAATAAAAAATAAAATATGGAAATTGTTAACCTTATAAAATGATTATATGAAGTACTTTCTAGTGATAGCTGTGGGAAAAGTAGATATTAAGAATAGCAAAGAGAGTCATGCCCAAACATTACTGTAAAAGCCTCAAATTATAAAGCAAAGACTAGAGAGACTCCAACCATCAATAAGGAGGAAGGCATTATATATCTTCTGGCAAGAGATTGAGATTTCTCACAGCTTCCAGGTCTTACCAATCAAAATAAGAGAACAAGCTAAAAATCCAAACTCATCCTTCCTTCCAACAGGACGGACTTACTTAGGAGGTGCAGCCATAGAAATCACAACTACCCTGGGCAGACTTACCAAGTTTCTCACAGCTGCGAGGCTGCCAGCAAGACTGGCACATAGTAAGCTGTGTAAAAGCTAACAAGCAAATCTAACAGCACCAAATCCTAAGCATATTAAAAAAAAATTAAAAATCACCAGTTCACTCTTATCCTCCAAAAGCACAAAATATTCCGCTCTACTTCTCTTGTCTTCACTATGTTCCTACAAGGACAGGAAGAAGACAGGAATCACTCCCATTTTACTGATGGATAAAAAGACAGAAGCATGAAGAAGGCAAAATTGGCCAGCATCCCACAGCTGATGCTGGAGTTCTAAATGGAATTTAGGTGTTCACATTCTCTGTCCAACAAGCTGCCTCCTAACAGCAGTCAACCAAACATTTGTACACAAATAACTAACTCTTCTCCAATTCATCAAAATAAGCCCTTGGACCAAAACATGTAATTCTCCAGTGCCCTGAACTAAGCTTTGCAGAGCTACAGCCCAATTTGCTCTGCAGCAAAAATCTGTATTGTGTTTAACGTGAGGGTTGGTGACAGAGCAGCCAATGACCATTAAATTCTGCTTCCAAAGGCAAAAAACCGTATAATGTTATATGCCTTTTCCTCTTCCTAATCTATAGATGGAGCAGCTAATTTCACGCCACACCTCATATTCGGCGTCTCTGGAATCTTAGATCAAGTCCTGGTCAATATGGAACAAAGGCAAGACAAATCACAAGAAAATTAGCAATTATCCTATGTCATTACCCACAGCTTCAATCCTGCCCTCCCCCAATATGATGAAAATTTCATCTATACTGGTTAAGTGGAGCATCGAATGCAGTGCCTACTACAAAAAAGCTGTTTCAGCAGCCACACACTTTTCAAGACCTGAGCATGAGTTCATTGGGAGGCAAATGCAAAAACATAGGTCTTCCTGAAGGGGTAACATGCACCAACACACTGATTTCTTTAGGGAATTTGTGATTGGTATGATCCCCAAGATGAGCCCCTGGCATAGCTGTTCAGAAAGTACAGCAAAGTCAGTGACTCCACACTTTCCTTTTGGAGTACCCAAGTTCCCTTGAAAAGAGAAGTCCATGGATTAGTGGTTCCCAGTCCAGGTCAAACTTAGATCAACTGGGAAGCTTTTTAAAAATTTAAATTATTGGGTCCTCAGACATACTGATCTTTTCCCAAAGCTTCTGGTACACAGAGTTCTCTATCTATTCTCCTACCTGTTCTTCAGCCTTGGGTTGTGGCTGCCAGTGTGTCTCAAGAATCCATGACATGAGCTGCACCAAAACCAATTCTACCCTTTCTAAGAATCCATTTAGCAGCACAAACCACAATGGCAGTTACCACAAAGGAAGTCTCATTTCATTGACACAAAAGCTGACAGCTTTCAACCAATATACTGGATGTTAGAGAGCTGTCCACCCTTCAGAAATGCAGGAAAAAACTAAATGTCTAAGTTTAGACGTTCTATCAGTTGGCCTAGAACTCATGCACCAATGCTACACACCTCATAAGTAGAATTCTCACATAGGCTTTAGAGCAAGGCTATTTCCATTCTCATTGACAGTGGTCAGCAACAGGCTTGAAATACAAGTGCATCTAAGAGACCAACCATGAAAACTTGGTATTGAGAGGCCCAGTTGATTGTGGGTCTACAACTCCTCACATCATTTGCATGCATGAGTATGAAGGAGGTTGGAGTGCTGGTACACAGAAAGAGTAATAAGCAAGGTGGTCAAAATGCAACACCAACTTTTTGTCTCAAAGGACAAACATTTACAGCAACTCCTTCTGCGAGTTAATGGTAGACAGAACCCTTGGGAAAACTTTAAAAGCTGGGCCAGGGTAGGGGTGGGGGCATGGATTCAAATCTCAGAATGAGAGATGTTAACCTGCTGAGAAGTGTCAAGGGGAATGAACTCAGCAAAAGCTGTTTCCCATAATTAGCTCTGACCTAATGAGCGATGTCACCACCTTTAGTCCCAATTCTTTGTCTTCTTATGAAGAACATATCATACGACTTGTCAAGATCTTGTTAGAATAATAGAGAAATGAAGCAAAAAAGGGAAGTTTGTCAGCCAGACCCCCAGCTGGTCTCACCTCCCTGCGTCCAGCTCCCGACCGGCAGAGCCTCCCACGTCTGTCAGGCTCGCAGCTGATACAGCCAACTCTCCAGAAGGCCTCTTGCCAGCTCCATACCCGCCACCGGAGCCACCGTTGCAGCTCTTCGTGCGAAAGAGGCGACTGAGGCGGATTTTGAGGGAGCCCTTCAGAGAAGGGCCCGCGAGTGGCCGGAGGGACCCGGGAGGGGGAGGGGGCGGGGGAGGTGGCTGCTGCTGCTGCTCTCCTCTACTCAAGCGCCCTGGAGGCACCAAGTCCTGCAGCGGAAAGGGCACCGGGGGTAACTCAGGGCCTGGGGGCTGCAGCAGAAGCCGGCCACCTCCTCCTCCGCGGCCCGGGCTGCTGAGCTCCTCTTCCGAGCAGCTGTTAGTCTCCAGGCTCTCCGCCTCCGACTCCAAGCCTTCCAGGACCAGCAGCGCGTCGCTCGTTTCCGTGGGGTCCTCCCCGGCCTGCGGGGCGGCAGCAGGCGGCTGGAGCTGCGGAGGGGGCGGCTGCGAGGGGCACGGGCACGGGCAGCAACCCCCAACCGTCTTGACCCCCGGCCCCGCCGGCTGCCCGAGCCCCAGAGCTGCCAACTGCGCCTCTAGTCCAGCCGCCGGGCCCCAGGTCCGCTCGAGCGCCAACCCCGGGGGCAGGGCCTTGGGGTCCAGGGCACAGCGGTGCCGGGGACATAGCAGTTCCGAGGGTCCTGGTTCTGGGGCCGCCTCCGCGTCCGGCTCCTCCGGCGGCCGACCCACGTTGCGGAACACCATCAGCTGCGGCGGCCGGGAGCCCCGCGTACCGGGCCGCGCGAGGAAGGGTGGCGGCGGGGGGCCATGGCCCGGGGGCGGGGGCGGCGGGCCTGGCTCGGGGGCCGCCTCTCCATAGCCGAGCAGGCGGCTCAGGACGCGGTACGAAGCGGCGGCCGCCGCCGCCTCGCCATCCCGGAGCTCGGCCCCCTGCATCGGGGAGAGAGAGGGAGGGAGGGCGGGCGGCTGGGAGCCGGGCTGGGGTGGGGACTAGGCCGGGCCCCGCCGGAGCCCCGCCCGCCGCGGGCCCCGGAGCGACAGCGTTAACGGCCGCCGCGGCCTCTGCCTCATAGAGGGGGGCGGGGGGGCGCACGGAGCGCAGCGCGAGCCCAGGCCGCGCGCCGCCGCCGCCGCCGCGGAGGACCGCCCCCGGATGGCATCATTTCCGGGAGGCTTGACCACGCCCCTTTCCCCAGGGTGTGCTCCTGCGGGCCTCCAGGGAGTGTGACGTTGCGAGCGGCCTGGTCCGCTATTGGCTGTGAGCTGCTTCTTGCCTGGCTGTTGGACTCCTGTCCCGACCCTTGCTTTTCACTTCCCGGGCGTTCAGGCCGAAGCCACCTCTCTGAGCTAGGTGGAGCACCCCTGGGACGCCTGGTTTGATTCCTGGGAGAGAGGTGCTGGCCTTGGGAGTAACTCTGGTTCTGGTCCCGCCTATGCGGTTTGCAATATGTGACCGAGGCGGAGTCATTTCTTCATTGACAAACTGTATCACCCCTGGCATCTAGTGAATATTTATGTAATGACATATGAATAATGTGCTCTAAGACTCAGAGGTGGGCTGATAAATGCTGAACAGCTGGCGCTCTGGGGGGGAAAGGGGGTGTATGTGTATATATGTATAGGTTCATAAGTTTATCATAAATTTTACTGATGTAAAAGATGTGAAGCATACACACACACTATATATATATATATATATACACACACACACACACATATACAATTACAAATTCCATGTAACCAATTGATTCTCACGGAATACTTTAGTTGATTTTTACCAAGCTCTTGAAGGGTAGCCCTGTGGTTTCAGTTGACCAAGGAGTGAATGTTGGTTAATATTTTCCTCTATGTCAGTGTAAGAGGAAAGTTAAAAAACAAACACACAGCCCTGGTCGGTTTGGCACAGCAGTTAGAGCATCGGCCTGCAGTCCAGAAAGACCGGGGTTCAGTTCCCAAGGGCACGTACCTCGGTTGCAGTTTGTCCCAGCCCTGTTTGGGTCATGCGGGTGGCAACCACTCGATGTGTCCCTTTCACGTCGATGTTTCTCTCTCTCTCTCTCTCTCTCTCTCTCTCTCTCTCTCCCTCCCACTCTATCTGAACAAAACAAAAAATGGAAGAATGTCCTCAGGGGAGGATAAACAAAAAACCAACACACAACAAAGACAGTCTTAACTGAGTGACTTCTTTGCTGAATGAGAAGTCCTGGTGGGTTTGGCTCAGCGGTTAGAGCCCAGCCCACACAGATTTGTACCTCAGTTGGGTTTGTACTTCAGTTGCATTTGGGTTTGGCCCTAGTTGGGTGGCCCTGGCCCTGACTGGGGTCGTGCAGGAGTCAACACATTGATGTGTCTCTCTCACATTGATTTTTTTTTTTCTCTCTCTCCCCACCTCCCCCCACTCTATTAGAAGATAAATGGAAAATATCCTTGGGTGAGAATTTAAAAAAACAAAACAGTTTTCAAATACCGAATATGTCTGTAATTTTGTTCTATTCACAATGTATTGGCTACAGACATAACACTTCAAATTTGAATTATTAACATTTTCTCCATCACTTTCTTAAGATTAGATAATCGACAAAACACTAAATGTGTATGATTTGCCAGTTTCCATGGTGTAAATACTCCTATCATGGCTGATTTCAGTCTACCAACCTGTCTTTACTGAACACAGAGTTAAAAAGAGATGAGCAGTAGCATACCGTTATGTAGTAGTTTTATCATGCAGATACAACAACATAAATAACCCCAAGAGCATAGATAACTAATAATAGTAAAATTATTAGGAAGTGATGAGTGTTAAGAATTTATTACCTTTGTTTTTATTTTTTTAATCCATACCTGAGGATATTTTTTTATTTACCTCCAGATAGAGTGGGAGGGAGGGAGAGAGAGAAAATCAATATGAGAGAGACACATCGACTGGTTGCCTCCCACATGACCCCAACCAGGGCCTGGATGAACCGCAACCAAGGTATGTGCCCTTGACCAGAATCGAATTCTTTGGTCCTGGGGCCGACGCTCTAACTGTTAAGCAAAACTTGCCAGGGCTACCTTTGTTTTTAATATCATCATAAATTTGTAGCCCCACTAGTGTGGCTCAGTGGACTGAATGTCGTCTCATGGACTGAGAGGTCCGAGTTCGATTCCCAGTCAGGGTACATGCCCAGGTTGTGGGCCCTATCCCCAGTGAGGGGTGTGCAGGAGGCAGCCGATTGATGTTTCTCTCTCACATCGATGTTTCTACCTCTCTCTCCCTTCCTCTCTCTAAAAAATAAAAAAATCAATAAAAACATTATAAATTTGTATAATTTAATTTTAACAGTGGCGGTGTTTAACAACAGGCTTGCAGAATTCCTGAAATTTTAATAATTGGCTCTCACAAGTTAGCTCCATGGTACCACGGTTTTTTCATCTGCAAAATGGGAATAAAGATTGCTGTTTTGGTTTGTCCCCAGCCCTGGTTGGTCGTGCAGGTGGCAGCCACTCAATGCATCCCTTTCATGTTGATGTCTCTCTCTCTCTCTCTTCCTCTCTCTCCCTCCTACTCTATCTGAACAAAAAAAATGTCCTTGGGTGAAGATTAAAAAAAAAAGATTGCTGCTTTACTTACTTGCAAGCATATTAAGAAGATCAAACAAGATCAAGCTTGTTGTGTAGAGGAGATCAGACTGGTAGCAGGGAGACCAGTTAGGAAACCATTGCAACCGGCCCATGTGAAGTGTTTAGGGATGCAAGGGATAATGAGGAAGGAACAGCCAGCAGCACTTAGCAACTTTGATACCCAGGGTGCATTGAAGGGAAGGGGGTTGAGGGTCTGCTATGAGTCCTGAAGCCAGAGAGACCTTTTAAAAATGGAAATTTGTCTAATAGCCGGTGATTATAACGCTTCATGGTTTCCCATTGTTCTTAGGCTAAAGACAAAACTCCTTAAGTAGGCTTTTGGGGTCCTGTGTGAGCTGACCCTGCCTTTCTCTGGCCTCATCTCCCACCAAGCTCTCCCTTATTCTCCCTCCAGTGCAATTCCACTAGCCCTGTGTCAGGCTTGCACACATATGGCCACTGCATAAGTTATTCCATTTTCTTGAAAGGCTTTTTCCCTCTTTTTTGCTTAGTAAAGTCCGACTCATTCTTCGGATTGAACTCTTTACTACCTCAGGGAAACCTCCCTGCCTGGGCACTTCCTCCTCACTGAAGTCCAGGACCACTCCTTTGTTGCACTTAATTGCACAGATATAATTTGTCATCTATCTTTGATGTTATTTAATTAAAGTCTGTCTTTGTTACTAAGCTGTCAGCTCCATTGAAGGCAGGGGACACATTTGTCCATTGTGGATTTTCCAGTGCCGAGGACTGTTTCTGGGCAGAGTAAGCCTTTAATAATGTGTTGAATGCTTGTTCAACCTCACACCTTGTAAGAGGCTCCTGATACAAATTCATCTCATTCAGCCTAACAGAATTAATATCCTTCCTTGCCCATGAAGAAACTGAAACTCAGTTATTCACCTAAGATCACACAGTTCAAAAGCTGCAGTGAACCCTGGCCGGTTTGGCTCAGCGGTTGGAGCGTTGGCCTGCGGTCCAGAGAGACCCAGGTTCAGTTCCCGCTAGGGTGCGGTACCTCGGTTGCAGTTTGTTCCTGGCCCTGGTTGGTTGTGCAGGTGGCAGCCGCTCGATGTGTCCCTTTCACATCGAAGATTTTTTTTCTCTCTCTCTCTCCCTCCCACTCTATCTGAACAAAAATTGGAAAAATGTCCTCCGGTGAGGAGGAGAGAAAAAAAAAAAGCTGCAGTGATATTCAGAACCAGCTGTCTGATGTCAAACATGTTATTCTCTACCCTCTCTCCCTTAGCTACCTCTTAGGCATCATTGAGATTTCTGGAGAGAAGAAGAGGAATCGCTGTAGGATCACAGGAACACCTGAGGTCTAAGAAGACCCCAGAATATCCTTGGCTGTGTCTGGAAAACTCTGGCCCCAGAACAGATTGCCAGAGAATTCAAGGTCTGTAGCTCTGCAGCGCCCTCTGCTGTCCAGCTACTTTTTTGGCCTGAGAGGGAAATACTGCCTCCCACCTTGGGTATCAATGCCTGCCCAGAGTACACAGAGGCACAAGGGAATGCACACTGGCTCTTTCTGAAACAGAGCAAGGAGCCCTCGCCGGTTTACCTTAGCGGTCAGAGCGTAGGCCCCAGAACCAAAGAATCCGATTCTTGTCAAGGGCACACACCTCGGTTGTGGTTCATCCAGGCCCTGGTTGGGGTCCTGCGGAAGGCAACCAGTTGATGTGTCTCTCTCAAATCCCTTCCTCCCGCTCTGTTTCTTTTTTTAAATAAAAATAAATAAAAGAAAGAAAAAAAAAGGAATGCTCTCTTTCTCCATTTTCTTAAATGTCCAGGCTTGTAGCCTAGGTCCTAGAAAAAACATTGAAAATTAAGCCAAGCAAAGGAAGTATATCTTTGTATGAGTTGGGTTGGTGTGTGTCTGTTGAGTGGGTTTTGTGTCTACACATACCTCTTTCACTGAAGTCTATGTAAGTGGTCCATGCAGTGGTAGAACCCTAGTTTTTAAAGTTTGTGAAAAACGATTCAGATCATCTAAGCCGGTCCTGAGGTTCACTTAAGTCACTCAGCAGTGGGCCAGGCTTCTGGAGTACAGTGATGAGTGAGACAGGCTCAGTCCCTGTCCTGCTGGAGTTTGCTATCTCGTTTGAGTCCTAATCATGCCATTTCCTGAATGTATGACCATGAGCAAATAATTAAACATCTTTGAACCTGTATTTCATTTGTAAAAGTAGGTCAATAATAATCCCCCTTAACGGGGCTGTTGTGGGGATTAAATGGAAACTTACATGTAAATGCTAAAACACTATACAAATGTTAGTTGTTTTTATTACTATGAAAAACTTCTTGAGAGAAAAAAACAACTTACTATGATGTCTTCAGCCAGTGTGTTTTGTTGGCCTTTACTAACACCAAGAACGTGGAATGGGTCACTTGCTCCCTGTCCCTCTCTCTGTTACTTAGCACACAGAATCAAAGCAGCCAAGGAGAGAGCTATGGATACAGGCTCTGATCCCGGTAACCACTCATTGGCTTTGTGGTTTTGAGAAAGTCACTTTGCTGACATTCAATTTTGGTTTTAGTTCTCTTCTCTCTTAGAGAACAGTCTGGGCTGTAGGCACTTCTAGTTCTGACATCCTAGGGATTCTGCCGGAGACTTGTCCTTTAGCCTCTTCTCTTCCTCCCACCCCTTACATTCCCACTTTGGGTTCCAAAGCAGAATTGTTTGCAGAGGCCACCTGTAAAGTAAGGGAAGTTTTTAGCAACATCCACCTGTCCCTTCCTACATACACTCAGTGATCTGGGGCATCAAAGGTTGGGCAGAGTGCAAAGGAAAGGAGCCAGGAGACAGCATGTGCCTGTGAGACCAGATCACTGTGTGAGTGGGGAGTGCACAAACTGCCAGTCTGTACAATGATCGATCCATGGTCACATGAAGCTCTCTTTCCCACCCTCGCCATCCCCGATCTCAAATTCCAGTTCAGCAGCACAGTGTCAGGGGGTACAGCAACCAGAGCAGATTGCCAGGAGATGCAGCTTGGCCCTTTATCATGCCCATCGCAATTGCTGCCAGAAGGCTGAGTGGAGCAGAGGGGTGGAGAGGGGAGCATGGGCTCATCTGCGGTTGCTATGACGCCCCATCCTGGATTTGCCCATCTCTCCTAATGGAGCAAAGGGCAGAGGGAGGCAGGAAGAGAGGGAGGGAAAGAGAGAATGACTGGTCCCTTCCTCTCCCCTCTCATCTATCTCTCTCTAGAACAGATGTAGGGTGGAGAATAGGGGGAGGGAGCCTAGATATTGGATAAGAGGGGGGAGGGAAGGGTGGTGTGCAGGATTAAGAGGGTTTGCGATGGGGGCCACACAGAGAGGAGGAGGCAGAGCCCTCATGCCTACATCCAGAAGCCAGCTGATGACATTAAAAAGAAGAAAAAACAAGCGAGACAGCACAGTGGAGAGAAAGAGGGAGAGAGAAACAGAAAGCAAGGAAAGGAGGCGGGAAGGCAGGCAGTTCTCGACTGCAGCCACTCTGTCCTGAGCCACCAAACCCCCCAGGCAGCCTGGACCCCAGGGTCCCTGAGAGCTGCCCCAAGGATGGGCACCAGGAAAGTGGTCATGCCTGGTCCTGTGTGGGGGCTGCTGAGCTGCTGTTTCCTCTGTTGCTGGGCTCTGGAGGGTCTGCGGCCCCTCCGCTCTCTGCCCACACTGCCCTCCCAAGTCAAGCCAGGGTATGTACCCATGTGGGTGCTCCCAGAGGGTGCTGAAGCAGCCCTGGCTTTTCTCTACTCTGGAGATGCCCAACAGCTGTTGGGGGCTAATTGCAGTAAGCGCTATGAAGCCCAGGAGGCAGGAGCCAGTCCAGGGCTCCCCCCGATCCTAGGGAGGGCAGCGGGCACCCTTGCCCAGGCCGCCAACTTCCTCAACATGCTCCTACAAGCCAACGACATCCGCGAGTCCAGTGTGGAGGAGGATGTGGAGTGGTACCAGGCCCTGGTCCGCAGCGTGGCTGAGGGGGACCCAAAGGCATACCGGGCTTTGCTGACATTTAACCCTCCACCAGGGGCCAGCCATCTGCAGCTGGCCCTGCAGGCCACCCGAATGGGGGAGGAGACCATCCTTCAGGACTTGTCTGGGAACAGGAACCTGGAAGAGAGCCTAACCCTGGCCCTGGACACTCCTGCCCTGCAGAAGCGGGTGCTGACCAATGACCTAGGGAGCCTCGGAAGCCCCAAGTGGCCACGAGGAGATGGGTATCTGGGGGACATGCAGCATGTGAGGCTGTCTCCTCCCTTCCTGGAGTGCCAGGAAGGCCAGCTTCGTCCGGGCTGGCTTATCACACTTTCAGCCACCTTCTATGGACTCAAGCCAGACCTTAGCCCAGAGATAAGGTAAGTGGGTTTGTGCAGGATTCGATGCATTCGTGAGTTTGTGAGGAGGGGGGCCCAAGTCCAGCCAGCTGGGCATGGGCCATTTGGTATGCACATGTGTGTCTGGGGGACACAGATGTGTGTATTTGCAGTCGACTCTGATATTCTGTAACTATGGTTAACACATACAGGTATGAGTGTACATACTGTGTACTGTGTATGAATTAATGTATTTACACATAGGTATACACATATGTGTATGTACAGATGTGAGATGTATGGGTATAGCCTGGGTAGATCTTGGCCCTCAGGTCTGAGTAGTGGGTATAAGAGGCGTGAGAGGGCTTTGTGTGAAAACAACAATTCATGTACCAGGCATCTTAGAGGACCCAGGTGGGCACTTCAGGAGCTAAACCTGCTGCTTTCTAGTAATCCAGAGCTGTAAAAGGAGGCTTTTCCAAGAGAAGGAAAGTTCTTCGTGGGGGTGGGGGGCTAAAACCATTGCCCTTTCTGCCAGGAGTTGGCCAGGTACTCAGGGTCACTCCCAATGGCTATATTCTTATATCAAGTAGGTTCCATTGTCCTGCCTGTCCTGACCCAGGAGTCTGTGATACCCCTCAAATAACTGACCCCCTCAACCAGAGTAAAGAGGTGATTGGGAGTCCTGGTGGGAATGAGGCAACCAATAGGCACAGTACTTCAAGACATTCAACAATCAACATTGTTTTTCCAGCTATGTGTCCCCCTTCATTGTCCCCAGCAGGGTTCCCCTGCTGCCTGCAGGAAGCCTGGCTCCCTGCCAGCTCCTTTCCCACTCAACCAGAGCAGGGGCTGGGAGCCCTTGGGCCCAGCAGCTCTCACTCTGGGCTCCTCCATTCCATATCTCCTTTGCTATAATGAATTTAGACCTGCTGGTTTGGGCAGAGTGAGGGGTAGGTAATAGTTGAGCTCCATGTGTGTTTGTATGTAAGTGTGAGTGTGTGAGTGTGTGTGTATGTGTGTGAGTGTACACGCAGTGGGGAAGTGTGAAAATCCCCTTCAAAAAGATCATCAAAGTCCCAGCTCCCAAATGTCTTGGCATGCCTCCTCTCTCTACCAATTGACAGAAACCAGGAAATGCTAGGATGTTGCAAAGCTGAGGGATGGGGGGATGGGAGATGACCTGGCGGAAAGGGATTGCTGCCTACAAAGACAGGGAAGGTTAATAGCATTGGAGAAATGGAATGCATGTGTGCCCTCTCTCAACACACTGCAGCCACTGTGCTAACGTTTGCAGAGCTTGCATTGCCCATAGTCTGGGGCCCAAGGACACATGTCCACCTTGGCATCCTTCACTGTGCCCCTAATTGCCAATTCACTGCCCTAGGGGGCAGGTGCAGATGGACATAGATCTTCAGATGGTGGACATCGATCAGTGTGCCAGCGGCCCAGGATGGTACTCTAACACGCACCTGTGTGATCTCAACAGCACACAGGTAAAGATAAGTGGGGGGAGGGGGCACTAGGTCCTGCCGCCCTCTCCCTTTCCCACCACTGCCACCACCCAGCTCCCAGGAGCACCTGACAAAGGCAGACCAGCTTCTTGGGGCATTAGGGGGGTTCCTAAAAATTAGTTCCTAGGCTTTTTAAAAGTGGGGACACCTACAGCCTAACCCCACCCTTTACCAAAGACAACCACCCTCATTTCTTTGAAATCTCATGTTCCTCTGTCTGCTTTCCCTTCTGATACTGGGTGCTCCAGGATCCCTTTCCAGGACCATCTCTTGAGCCTCTATTAATCATCCCCTTCCCTTATCCTGGACCACTTTGTCATCTCATGTCAACAGAGTTCCAGGCTCCTTCTGACCCACAGAGGATGCTCAGCTAGAGTTTGTTGAAATAAGTGGAATTGCTTGTTGGGGTGTGGGAGGACTCGAACCAAAGCAGGAGCTTGGAGAGCTCTGGGACGGGTAGAAGTGATGGAACCCAGGCCAGATGACAGCAGAATCAAAGCCATGGATGCAGAAGAATCTGGATAATGGAAAACAATGGCTGTTAATCCTGCAAGCCCAGCACTGGAGAACCAGGAGGCCAGTGTACTAATCTGCTCTACAGTTACACTGGCTGAATGCTTGTTCCTGAGCTGAACTGAAGCCAAGGCGAGCCCTGCAGCCTGCAGGGAGGTGGGGCCAGTTTGGGCATCTGCTTCTCCTCGGGACACATGTGTTTGAAGCTATGAGTCCAGGGACAGAGAAGGGATCCCATCACCCAGTGCATTTTAAAACCTGGCCACATTCACATCTCTGGTCAGGCTATTGTCTGTGCAGACTGTGGCAGAGCAAAGCATGTTCCAGTGATCCAGGCAAGAGGGAAGCTGGGCCATGATTTCAGAGCCAACACTCTAACCTTCTTGGTGAATTCAAGCTGGATGCAGAATCTCCAAGGATTCACCCTTTCCTCTGCTAAATGCTGTCTGTTCCTAGCCAACCCCTACGGCAGATCTGGCTTCATCCAGATCATCTGGCTTCCTCACCTGGCTCTGAGGTCTGCTCTGTCCCCTGCTGGGTAAATATTAATGGGCGGAGGTGGAATAAAGAGCTGGCCTTCGCATCTCATCAGCCTGGCATTAGGGCTGGGGAAAGCGGTCCTGTGCTGAAGCCAGATGGCCACTCACAGAGGAAGCCACTCTTCTGTGGGAGCCTTTTCAATCCACCTGTGTGCCCAAGAGGGAGGCTGATGGGACCCATTGAAGCAGGATGTAGGCACACAGGTGTAGTTGGGCTCAGAGTTCTTTTTACTTCTACCTCCTGCAGTACCTGCTCTAGCAAAAGCTGAGCACTGGGAAACGGCACCTGTGAGGCTCCTATTACTGCTGATCTGAATAAAAGGGTCATGTTGCTCCATATTCTTTGCTTAGGTGTCTCTTGGAGAAGAGAGGCAGTGGGTGGGGGGTAGAATAGGGTTTCCATAGAGAGAAGGCTTCCCTAGGACTAGGGAGGGCTTCTGATGAGATGCCCTAGTGTGGACCCAGGTACGATGGACAGGAACATAGATGGACCCTCCATCTCTTCCCAGGAGGAAAAGCCCCATACAAATATCTATCATTTTTCTATTGTTCCCACAGTGCATCCCTCTGGAGAGTCAGGGTTTTGTCCTTGGCCGCTACCTCTGCCACTGCCTACCTGGCTTCTACGGGACAAGCCGCCCCTGGGGTATGTAACTGTGGTGAGGGCCAGGCAGGTGTTTTATAGGCTGGGCTGGTTGGAGGTGGGTATCTGGGGAAGGCAGGCTGGGGTGAGACACTGGGAGGAAACTTGTGGGGCAAGAGCAGAAGGTCAAGAGAAGCAGAAGAGGCAGGCAGGATCTCGTTTGAGGATGAGCCCATAACATGCCAATCCATTGCAATTTGACCTGGAAATGAGCCCTGGCTTGGCATCACCTCTTCTTGTTACCCTGCCCTCCCTTGGGAGTACCCACTTCCTCATTCTGGCCCTCCTGATCCTATCCCAGAGGCCACCATAGGAGGGCAGGGGGAGGGCTGTGGTGACCATTGGGAGAGAAGGCTAGGATCTCAGAATGCCCCAGCCATGCCCCTCTCCCTGCACCCGTCTTGTTTTTTATAGGGTTAGAGAGTGCCACCCAAGCTACTGGGCAATTTGGGTCCCCACAAGATGGCTCTGGGAGGCTGCTTCGGTGCCAGCCATGTGCTGAGGGGTGTACCAGCTGCATGGATGCCACACCATGCCTGGTGGAGGAAGCCCTGGTGCTGCGGGTAGCAGTGTTGGCCTGCCAGGCCTGCTGCATGTTGGCTGTCTTCCTGAGCATGCTGGTCTCCTACCGCTGCCGCCAGAGCAAAGTAAGCAAGGCTCCACATCTCTCCTTTGCGCTCATGTCCAACCCATCTTTGGTTCCTAGCATCAACTGAAGACCTTATATTACCTAATACTATAACTTGGCAGAAATGGGTTCTGGTTTTGATTCTTAATCTAACATACTATATGACATTAGGCCAAGTGACCTCACCGCTTAGATCTGTTTCCTCACCTGTAAAATAAAGGCATTGGACTTGGTTCAAAATAGTGCATAGGTACTGGAGGAAGTGATCTGGACCCTTGTGGAGCTAGCTCCCAGGTGAATGGAGGAAGAAGACATGTAAATCAAATGACAGCACAGCAAGACAGGTGAGGATGGAGTTACGTGTTGGTTTCTGTGGCAGCGCAGAGAAAGGACCCAGTTGTCCTGCCTGAGCTGGCATGGGGAAGACTTTCTGGAGCATGTGACATTTGAGCCAGGCTTGAAGGTCCACCAGATGGTTACTGGGCAGAGGAGGGAATATCGAGACAAGGGAGCAGTCTGAACCAAAGCTTGGAGGAATGCATGAGGTATCTTCTAGTTCCAGCAGCCTCTGAGCCCAGGTCTGCAGCAAGGTCCAGGCTGGGGTTAGGAGAATAGGGCTAGTCGGGTGGGGACGGAAACCTGGGCCTTAGCCAGGTTTAGTGCCAGGGGAACTAAGAGCCTGTGGTGGGAGTAGGAGCATGGCTGTGGATGGAGTGTGGTGCTGATGTTATGGGGTAAAGTCTTAGCCCAGGTTCACTGAGTGACCCCTAAAATAGGCCTGAGATCCTCCCATGCCATCATCCAGTCTCTGTCCTCCCACTGCCCTGCTTACTCCGCTCTCTTGTTCCTGGGTTCACAGAGGATCCGGGCATCTGGAGTTGTCCTGCTGGAAACCATCCTTTTTGGATCCCTGCTGCTTTACTTCCCTGTGAGTTTGTGGCCAGAGGCTGACCTCCATCTCCCAGAGTCCCCACGGTCCCAACATGGTACTCTCCAAACCCCAGGATGCTTCCTCTTCTCCGCCCTCTTGAGGGGATTCAGAGACCTCAAATCCCCCTACTCAGATTGACAAATGGCAGGCTGGCCTAGTGAGTTCTGGAAGCAAACAGTCCAGGCTTAAAACAGCTGTATGACCCACTGTGTGACTTAGGACAAGTTACCTAACCTGATTCTTTTATTTTTTTTAATAAAAATTTTAATAATTTTTAAGAGGACCTGGGCTCAGAGAGAGAGAAAGGGAGAGATAGAAATATTGATGTGAGACTGTAACATCGATCGGCTGCCTCTTGCAACACCCCCATACCAGTATAGAACCCACAACCCGGGCATATGCCCTGATGAGGAATTGAACCAGCAACCTTTCAGTGCATGTGATGACACCCAAGCAACTGATCCACACTGGCCAGGGCCCCTCTCTGATTCTTAAGCTTTTCCTATACAGAATGGAGGTGATGATGCTTTTATTGCAAGGCTGTCAGAAGGATCAATAATGTGTTTAGCATAGACCTGGCACATAGTAGGAATGCAGTGGAAAGCAGCCATTTTTGCCCCCTCCTCACCAGGTCTTCATCCTGTACTTCAAGCCCAGCATATTCCGCTGCATTGCTCTCCGCTGGGTCCGGCTGCTGGGCTTTGCCATTGTCTATGGCACCATTATACTCAAGCTTTACAGGTAGGGGCGGGAGCAGACCTTGCTCTCGTGCTGCTCACTTCTGGCCACCCCAGCTCATTGATGGAATGGAGTTCTTCAGTCAGATCCTTACCAGCTCCACTGCCGTGTCCCCAAGGCCTGCCTCCATCACTATAGCCCTCCCCTCCACATAACTTTTCTGGGGGTAAGGAGGTAGCAAACCATGAAAGGGATAGGAAAACATATATGTGGAGGGGAGGGGAGCAATGGTCAGAGAACAGAATCCTGTCCCCCTTTCCTTGGTCCTCCCCCTGTGCCCACCCACCATGTATACATACCCCTATAGAGTGCTGCAGCTGTTCCTATCTCGAACGGCCCAGAGGGGCCCCCATCTAAGCAGCGGGCACCTGCTTCGGCGTCTGGGGCTGCTCCTGCTACTAGTACTGGGCTTCCTGGCTGTGTGGACAGTGAGGGTCCTGGATCGAGGCATCCTGCACACTCCCCTGGTGACCCGAGGCCACACTCCCATGGGCCGCCACTTCTACCTCTGCCACCACGACCGCTGGGACTACGTCATGTTTGTGGGTGAGTTGCTTTAGTCAAGCCTAGTCTCACTCTGGCCCCTGGCTCATCGCTTCCATGGGTCCTCTGGTCCTGCTCCTCCTGCCTTGTACCCTGACCCCTGGCCCAGGTTCCCCCTAGCAAGCCCTACAGAGAAAGGGGTGGCCTGGCTGCGGAGGTGGCCTGCTGCTCTGTCCCTCACTGCTTCCCCACAGCCGAGATGCTGCTCCTGTGCTGGGGCAGCTTCCTCTGCTACGCCACCCGGGCTGTGCCCTCAGCCTTCCACGAGCCACGCTACATGGGCATTGCCCTGCACAACGAGCTGCTGCTCTCTACTGCCTTCCACGCAGCCAGGTGAGGATGGGCCCACCTACCCACGACTCTTCCTCACCCAACACTACTCCTCACTTCTCCCAGATGAGGGTACCCCCTTCCATGGGCATCCTTACAACACTGCTATGCCTCAGCAAGTGAGGAAGGACCCCCACCTGTAGCTCTCTCCCTACCCCACAGATATCCTTCTTGCACCCCATGTCTCACCCAACACCCAAGAAGAGGAAGTGTCCTCCCACACTTGCTCAGCTCTCTCTGCCTTCTCACGCCTCAGTTGTCCCAGCAGTATGCCAGCTGTGTGTACCTAAGGACCTGGCCCTGTGGTGGAGGCAGAATCCATCCACAGGATGGTCCACAGGACAGTGTAGGGCACATGTCTGTGCTACAGGCAGCCAGAGAAGGCGAGCTGGAGCAGTATGGGAGGGCCTCTCAGAGGCGGGCGTTAATGTGAGCCTTGAGGTAGGACCCACACCCCAAAAAGGGCAAGAAGAGGGAAGAGGGCCCTCCTCACCCACCAACATCTCCATGTGATCAGGGCTGGGGCTGGGACAAGTGAGACTGGTGAGGGGAAGAGGCCACTCCTACCCACGAATAAGCACCCCCCTCCCATCCCACTCTCAGGTTTGTGCTGGTTGCCTCCCTGCACCCCGACTGGACCCTCCTCCTCTTCTTCTTCCACACCCACAGCACAGTCACCACCACCCTGGCTCTGATCTTCATCCCTAAGGTGAGGTCTTCCCCGGGTCTGGATATAAAGCCGGCCCCCTAGTCTCCTTGTCAGGGCACTGTGGAACTGCAGCAGCGGCAGCGCCCTCTTCAGGTCAGGGTGAGGATGGTACCCTGTGGACATGTGGGTTCTGAGCAACAGGGGCCCTAAGCAAGAAGCCCACTGGGGCAGGAGAAATAAGAGGTGGGACTGGAGGGGTCTTTGTAACAAAGCTTTAAGGTTGGCAGACTCTGAAAATCAACTCGGAAGCAGTTACAGAGAGAGAGTTGGAGAGCTGAGGACATGGGTAGGAGTTGCAGGGGCAGGAGCTTGAGAACCCCTGGTCTCTAGCTACAGAAGACCAGGGAGGAGGAGAGGGAGCAAAAGTCTTCGGAACCCAGAATCCCAAATCAGAGAGGGAGTAAAGATTCACAAAGTAGCCTTATTCCATGGGGCAGCTGGAGGAGTGAACAGGGAGACCCAAGGTGAGTCTTTTCCCCAATCACGCCCATTTTCCTGGCCAGTTCTGGAAGCCGGGGGCTCCTCCCCGAGAGGAGATGGTGGATGAAGTGTACGAGGATGAGCTGGACCTGCAGCGCTCAAGCTCCTACCTCAACAGCAGCACTGCCTCAGCTTGGAGCGAGCACAGCCTGGACCCGGGAGACATTCGGGTATGTGCCGCCCTCTCCGCCTCCTTTGGTGCTAGCTCTCAGGGACTGGGCAGGGGCCCTGCTGCCCTGCCCCTAGCTTTCCCTCTCTCTAGGACTTGCTTCCCTCCCTTCTCTTCTATTGCCCTAACATACTTGAAAAGACCCCAAAAGTTTCATACCCCAGAGCCATAGGGCACTTGGTAAGGTCGAGTCAGGGCCGAGTAGCGCTCGCCTCCTCCGTGCCCCCACTCCCTTCACAGGGGCAGACTAAGCCCTGAGTCTCCAGCACACTGGGGCAGTTGGTGACTCTAGTGTCAGTTGGGGCTGGGCAGTTCAAGCAGTGAGGGGCCACAAGGGTTTCCACACCAGGATCCCCTTTCCCTAGACCTGGCTGTCTTAGAGAAAGGAAGTTCTTCCGGAGTCTTACATCACGAGAGCACCCATACTCTCATTTTACTGCTCAGGGAGATCATCATAGTCCAGGAACCCTAATGAGGGGCTCAGTGGGGAGGCAATAAGGAAACTTGGCAGTCGCAGCCCAGTTTTATGAAACCTACAGTGAAGGGAAATCTCAGGAAGCCATTTGGTCCATCCCCTCCACTTCCCCTGGGGCTCACCTCTACACCGAACTTGTTTACCTCTCCCAGTGCCCTCCTTGTCCCAGCGACCTCTGCCTCTCATTCCCCCTGGTGTCCTCCACACTCTCTGAGCTCTGCCTGCTGCCCCCTGCGTATAGGCTTAACTGAGGCCCAATCCAGCAGGGAACCTGGAGAGTGTGGAGGCCACTGCCACAGCCCCGCCACCCCCGTCCTCCACTTCACGGAGCAGCAACCAGTCTACTCTCCCTCTGCTGGCTCTGGGGAGAAATCCAAAGTATAAGACTTCCAAAGCTCATTGTATCATTTACACCTGAACATGGCACTTTTCGTGCTCATTAGTCCCATGGATCTCATATAAATTTCTTTTAACGAAGCTAACACTAGGCAGCCAGTTTCTGTTATTTTATAGAAGCAGAGACTCAGAGAGGTCAAGATAATAACCTCAAGACACATGATGGGTCAGCAGCTTTAAACTCAGATTTCCTGTCCCCAAGCTGGTGATTGCCCACCAGACCACAGTGCCCCAGGGAAGTGAGTACATGCTGTGTCCTCAGAGCTGAGTAAGTCCAGCTGGGAACCAGGCTGGTGCTGGCCTTGCAGGAATGGAGCAGTGAACTGAGAGGTTTAAAAGCAAGGAAGGGACACAGCTTGGTGGGAAAGAGATTCCCCCAGAGAATGGTCTAAGTAAAGGCTGAGGGGGATAACAGTCCAGCCAGGGGATGGAGAGACACGCCCATTTGTCCCATGTCAGCCCTGCTCTCCTTGCTCCTCCCTTCCCCCAGGACGAGTTGAAGAAGCTCTATGCCCAGCTAGAGGTCCACAAGACCAAGGAAATGGCTGCTAACAACCCCCACCTTCCCAGGAAGCGGGGCACCTCACGGCAGGGCCTGGGCCGCTCCTTCATGAGGTACCTGGCTGAGTTCCCCGAGGCCCTGGCCCGCCAGCACTCCCGGGACTCGGGTTCCCCAGGCCGCAGCAGCCTGCCCAGCTCCTCCCGCCGCAGGCTCCTCAGCTCCAGCCTCCAGGAACCTGAGGGGCCACAGGCCCTGCGCAAGTCCTGCAGCACGTACAACCACAACCACTGCAGGGAGAAGGACTCCCATCCCCTGGACTCACTGCCGAGGAGGAAGCTGGCCAAGAGGGCCTCACGGGCAGAGAGCCGGGAGTCAGTGGAGGGGACCCTTGCCCTGGGCTTTAGGTCAGCCAGTGCCCACAACCTGACCGTGGGAGAGAGGCTCCCCAGGGCCCGGCCCGCCTCTCTGCAGAAGTCACTCAGCGTCATGGCTGGCTCCAGGGAACAGGCCCTGCTGGTGGCCAGCCAGGCCTATCTGGAGGAGACCTATCGGCAGGCAAAGGAGCAAGAGGAGAGAAAGAAGGCAGAGGTGGCCTTGGCAAGCCCAGTTCGGAGGCTATCAGCCAGGAGGCTGCTGAGAGCTCAAGGGACCCCTCTGTCAGCCCCACCCTCCCCTGCCAAGAGCAGCGGCAGCATGGACAGCTCCTATGCCTCTGGGAAGCTTCCGGAGGAGGCTGGGAGAAGGCTGCCTCACCCACCCATCCAGCACCAGATCTCCACACCCATTATGGCCCTGTCTGGGGCCTGCCTGGGAGAGCCAAGGATGCTGTCTCCCACTTCCACCTTGGCTCCAGCTTTGATACCAGGTCCAGCCCAGGTTCTGGCCCCTGTCCCTGCCCTAGCACCAGTCCCAATATCCCCCCAAAGCCCCAGCTTACTCACCTTCATCTGCCCCTGGGAGAATGCAGAACTGCCCATCAAGAAAGAAGATGTGGCTCAAGAAGGCCCCTCAGGGCCTGAGCTAGGCAACCACTCCCCGGCCCCAGCTCGGGCCAGGTTCTGGAGGGCCCTCTCCGTTGCAGTAGAGAGAAAGGGCGCTGGGGAGAACGGGGTAGACACGGAGGACAGACGTCTCCGAGGGGAAGCTGATGATGTAGATGAGGACAGGCCCAAGATCTTCTCTAAATCCCACAGCCTCAAGACCCCTGCTCAGCAGGGTTCTGTGCGCAGCCTGGGACTGGCTATCAAAGCTTTGACCCGTTCTCGGAGCACACACAGAGACAAGGAGAGTGGGGAAGAGAGTACTGAGAAGGAAAAGGGCCAAGCTTCAGGAGAGGGGGTGGGGGCGTGCCCCAGGTCCCCCAGGCTAGGCGGGCGCAAGGTGGTGAGTAAGCAGGCCGCCCTCGCCCCCTGCGAAGACGAGGAGTCCCTTCAGAACCAACAGAATGCACACACCAGCAGACTGCTCCTTGTCTGTCACCAGGAGGGCAGCAGGGAAGAAGACAGGGGCAAGAGGACATCTCAGGGTCAAGGGGAGAAGAACGTGGAGAGAGCAGGTAGAACAGAGCCTGCCACACTGAGGCAAGTCAGGCAGGGCACAGTTGGGGACGAAAACACTGAGCAAGCAAAAGAAGCCCCTGCAGGGAGGCAGGAACTGCTCAAAGCTGGCCTCCCACACCAGGGCAGTGCTGACTGCAGGGTGGCAGAGGTATGCCCCTGGGAAGTCACTGAGTCAGAAACCTATCTGCCTGACAGCAACAAGGCTGAAATCTGCCCCTGGGAGGTGAGTGAAGGAGGCCCTACGAGGGGAGAATTAAGACAAGATCTAGATGACTCCCAAGAAGAGAGGGGGAAAGCCCCAGAAGAATCAGAGCCCAAAGATGTGGCTGCCTTTGCTCGGAAAAAGCCAGAGAGGCTGGTCAGGGGGCAGGAGGCAGTGTGTCCCTGGGAGAATGCCAATCCCAGGGATCTGTCCCCTCAGGACTCTGAGAGAACCAAGGGCAGGTCTGAGGCAGGGGCCAGGACGGACGCTAGAGAGGTGAAGTGTTGGCAGGAAGTCACAGGCCCAGAAGCTTGTATGTCTAACATCTCCAGGGCAGAGCTCCGTCCCTGGGAGGCAAGTGAAAGAGGAGAGAATGAGAAACCATCCCAGGAGGGAGTGAAGAAGCTCCCCCAAGAAAAGCAGCAAACCCCCAAGAAAGCAACCTTCTGGAAGGAACAGAAACCGGGCAAAGACATGAAGTCTCTTTGTTCATGGGAGAGGACTGATTTCCGTGGCCCCTTAGCAATCTCTACTGAGATCCCAGGAACCCCCAAGTGCTCCGGGAGCATTGCAGAGGTGTGTCCATGGGAGGCAGGGGAGGCTCCTGCAATCAGGAAAGCAGAGATTTGTCCCTGGGAGCTGGGTGATGAGGTAGTGGGGAAGGACATGCTACATCAGCGGACAGGTGGAGAATCTGTCCAAGAAGAGGGTCAAGCCTCCAGGAAAGGGCTCGTTGGAGAGACTGGGGAACAAACTGGGAAAGCGGTGCAGACAACTAGTCCACAGCAGGAGTCAGTGTGTCCCTGGGAGAGCACAGCCCCTGGGCACTCCAGCCCTGGTCTGGACAGTTCCTCATCCAGAGCTGGTGGCCAACTCCTCGGCAACGGAGGAAGCAGAGCCATGCAGGTATGTCCACAGGAAGACCTCAGGCCAGAGGTAAAGGCAGTAACACCTACCAAGGCAGAAATCTGTCCCTGGGAGGTAAATGAAAGAACAGAGGACTGGACATCAGGACAGGTACCCAAAGGAGGAGAATCTCAAAAGAACAAGGAAAAAATGCCTGAAACATCAGGAATCAAAGATGTCACAGCTTGGGCGAAGCCTGAAGGACAGCTCCAAAAGCAGGGAGCAGTCTGTCCTTGGGAGAGTGTGGAACCTGACAGCTTCCCCCTACAACCAGGTCAAGACACAGATAGAAGCAAAGCTTCTGCAATCTGTCCATGGGATGTGGAGAACACCCTGTCTGCTGAGAAGGCAGAGATCTGTCCCTGGGAGGTGAGTGCTGGAGCAGGGGAGGAACGAGCTTTGGGAGTTGAAGCCATTAGGAAATTGCCAAACATTACAGGAAAGGGTTCTGCAGATCCTGGACCCAGCAAGATAGCTGTTACTGCTCCGAAGAAGCCAGAGAGGCCAACCCGGGAGCAGGAAGTAGCCTGTCCCTGGGAGAGCGTGGATCCAGGGGGCTCCTCTCAGCATTCAGACACTGTGGATATTGACAGACAAAAAGGCGGATTCCAGGAACTGGAACATGTGGGGTGCAGGCCAGCCGAGGTATGTCCCTGGGAAGTGGAAGAAGCATCTACCAGTGAAAAAGTCAGTATCTGTCTCTGGGAGGTGAATGAAGGAGCTACTGGGAAGGGACTGGAACAAGAGATGGGGAGTGATTCAGCAGGGCAGAGGGAGAAAACTCCAGAAAGGGGTAGACTCACCTCCCTGGAAGAAGACATATCAAAAGGGGAGACACAACTGAATCAAGAGCAGGAAGCTATTTGTCCTTGGGAGAAGGACTTGAGAGAACCCTCTGCTCAGGCCCCTGAGGTCGCAGACTCATCCAGCAGCATGAGTAGCAAAGTGGCAGAGAGGCATTCCTTGGAAGTCCATGATGAGGTAGGAGAGAGAGGGGACCTGATAAAAGACCCCACAATGGGTTCCCTCCAAGAACACATAACCCAAGAAAAAGCTCCGTCTTCCAAAGCAGAAGTCAGTACTGAAGATGGGGAAAGAGCAAACAATGAACTACAGTCTATCTGCCCATGGGAAAGCATGGCCCCAGCAATCTCCTCCTCCCATCCCGGAAGTCAGTGCCCTGACCAGCCGAAAGCTGGCTCTCAGACACTGGTCAGCACTGGGGGCAAGCGTGCTGAAGTGTGCCCATGGGATGCTCCTGCCCCAGATGCTCACCAGCCTCACAGCAGCACCAAAGCGGAGGTCTGTCCCTGGGAAGTGACTGAAAGAATCCCTGAAGGAGTGTCAATGCAGAATGGAAAGGGGAAACCTCAAGAAGAGGAGGGGAAAGCCCCAGAAACACCCGAGCCCAAAGTTGGGGCAGTTCAGAAAAAGCCAGAGAGGGCATGTGGGAAGCAGGAGGCTGTGTGTCCCTGGGAGAGTCAAGATAGTGGAGGTCTGTCTCCACACCCAGCCCCACAAGTTTCTCACAGAAGCAAAGACACTTCTGAGGGAGCAAGCAGTGTGAAGACCAGGAGAGCAGAAGTGTGTCCGTGGGAAGCAATAGAGGCTCCCTCTGGCAAGAGAGCAGAAATCTGCCCTTGGAAGATGAGTAAAGCAGCAGCAGAGGACGGGGGCCCAGAACAGGAGGTGGACAGAGAACTCCAAGGACAAGGAGAGCTGTTCCTTCAAAAGGCAAGGTCTGCAGAGACCGAAGAACCCTTTACAAAAGCAGCAAAAGGCAGCAGAGAGCAGGAGACAGTCTGCCCCTGGGAAGACATGAGTTCGGGAGGACTCTTCCCCCAGCCAGATGCTCTGGACACTGATGAAGCCAAAGTCAGTCCCCACGGAGCAAGTGGTGTGGGGAGCAGGATGGCAGAGCTGTGCCGATGGGAAGTCACAGATCCAGAAGGAAATAAAATAAAGCTTACCATGGCAGACATCTGGCCTTGGGAGGGAACTGGAGCCCCATCTGAAGAATCTGGCCTCCTGGCTTTAAGAGCAACTCAGACAGAAATATTTTCCCCCGGAGTTCCTGAGAACCCACCATGCCTTTTGGTCCAGAGACCTCTGGGTGGCTTCCTTCCAGAAAGCAAATGCTCCCGCCCCAAGGTGAGCAAGCCAGACAGTTCTTTTACTCTGGAAGGTGTCAGAGAATTCCAAGGACCTTCAGGACTTGAGCCAAGGACCAGCTTAGCCCCAGGGCCAAGTCTCCAAGAAGCTGAGGCTCAGAATTCTTCTTCCCTAACTGAAGACCAAGAAGTGGCTTCCAAAGCTCCACATGAAGAACTTGCCCCTCCAACTGTCTATCCTTGGGACTGGGAGTAACAATTCCCAATTTAAACTAGGGTGAGGTCAAGCGTTGGGTGGCTGGTTTGCAGGAGCCAAGGTCCATTCCGAGTCCTAGGTGTTCCCAAACAGCTGAAACAAAAACACTTGACCACCCCTCTCCAGGAAGGCCAGACATTAATTTACTCAAACACAAATTGTACACGAAGGGTGCAGCTCAAACCCCAACAGAAAATTGCACTCTCTCCTTACTTCCAAGTCTTCCTGCGTAGGGAACAAAGGCCAGACCCTCTGCTTCTAACAAATCCTCCTATCCAGCTAGAGTACTCCACACAAGCCATCTGTGTTAATACTCACTTGAAAAGCCAATGTTAGGGATGAAAGGAAGTCAGCAGTGCTGGCCCACATTTGCTCATGGAGAGACCCTATTCTTCTCTGAAGTCTACAAAGGAACCCCCCTCCCTGTTTATTTTTTATTTTTTATTTTTTTTTGAGAAGAAACTAAACCACACAAGACACTACCTACATAGGGACTGAGGGTCACGGAAGGCTAAACAGGTCACCATAAGAAGCTTAAGAAGCCACTTAATTCAAGTTGAAAGATAAATAAGAGGAAAACCTAAATGGCTAAAAAAAAAGGTGCCTGAAATGCCTTGTCATTTTGACTTTGGATCTCCAGTTTCTGCTTAATTGATCCTCAGACCTGCCCTGCTGACTACTGAAGCAGGGCCAATCATGCACTCTTAAATCCATATCATGTGGCACCCAAAGCAGTATCAGAGCAGAGAAGGAAAGGCAATGGCTCCAGGTCCTCCCCACACTGGCCAAGGTCAAGTTCTCCCTTCCAGATGCCCTGTCTCCAAGTTTTAGTATGCCTCTTGCTAGCTTTTTCAGATGGCCTCCCCCTTTTCCTGCCCTATCTTTTGCCACTCTCCAGAGTTCATCTCACTGGCTCATTCTCCCCCTCCTAGCCTTTCAGTGCTGTCATCAAAGGGACCCCTCTCTGTTGTCAATGCAACCAGAGCCAGGGGGGATCTCTGGTTCTGATGGGAGAACCACTCCAAATCACTTACTCAGTAACAAGAGGCCTACATCAAGCTCCTCGCTGAGAAGCCTGAGAAAGAAAGGAGGTCCTGTTAACAGCCAGCACTATAACCGCCCGCAGAAAGAGGAGTGCCATGTGGCAGGTTAGAGGCCTGAGGGATGGGGCCAGGGCATCATGTAAATACAAAGCCTTCTTTCTTAGGGAGCTCTCTCTTGTTCTTAGCTCGGCTCTATTCTCTCAAGTCAGTTCAGGCTACCCTTACTTAAGCAATCCTAGATAACCGTGCTGGAATTAGATGATACTACCAGAGGGAAATGAAGAAAGAGAAAAACATTGGTTAAAGAAATCCCAGGATTGGCAGGCATGAGTGGGGGTGGAAACAAACAAACTAAACATGGCAGAACTGGACAGGGGCACTAAAGATGGCAGTAAGCCCACCTGCGAATTAAACTGACATTGATGCCATTCGCGAGGAGGAAGGGCAAAACAAGACCAAATACCCAATGGGGAAGAAATAAGTCTGCAGGTGAATACTCTGGGCACTTAAAGCATTTCACATAAAAATAGCAAGTACTGCATTTCCAAAAAGGAGGAAAAAGAATGGAGTAACCATTTTTAGGGACTAAATACCCTTGTTCCCATGTCTAGGCCCCTTCACGTAACTAGGTCCCTTGCCCTCACCTTTCAGAGTATTTGAAGTGTGTTTTGCTTTGGGCTCTGGCTGGTTAACCCCACAGCTTCCGAGCCAATGCATATTTTGCTAACTGTACACCTCAGAACAATCCCATTGGGTCTGGTCTAGCTGGGAACAAAAATGTTGAGAAATAAACCACGGGGGGGAGGGGGGGCGGGGGGGGGAATAAAGAATACTTTTTGGGGGAGCAGTTGGTTCTAGATGTATTCATTATGGTGATTTTCTTTTTTCAATGTTTTTAAACAAGAACAGGAAGAAAAACAATGCCTGCTCTAAAGCCCAAGATTAACACTGCAGCCTTCAGGACTTCAGCTCTGTGGCTGGCACTGCAGATGGCCTCTGCCTGGTCCTTCTAATCAATCCTTTACATCTGGGCCATTCGCTCAGCTGGATTTGATCCCAAGGGGAAATAAAAATTGCACTTATCCTGACTCCCTGGTGGCAGCTATTGCTTAGCTGCTATTTAGGATTATCTAGAGACCCCAGAGACAGATCTGGGGGAATGGGGTGAAACAGCTTATTTAAAGCACTGTTTTCCCATATTCAGAGAAATCAATGCATCATTTGCCCAGTAAGTGTGCTTTGTTTCTCTGCTTCCCTACCCAACCTGGATTACCTCCCTTTATTCCTTGCTGCTGTAGATGCTGCTTAAAGTACTTCCCATCTCATTTTGCTTTAATCTGGAGATCACACAAATAGGATATGACCAAACTGCACTTGGGCTGCAAAATGATGTACATTTTAAGCCAAAAGGATTGAAACTAAGTAGCATGATGAGAGTGGCTGTTTTGGATTAACCCATCAGTGCTGCTTCTTCCCTAGGCATACACATCTTGTTTCTACAGTCAGCACTCAGCAGCTGTTGTAAAGATAACCATTGCCCCCAATGAAGCCTGCCTGGTCTGTTTGCTGCTTTGCCGAGATGGTAGCTTTAGAGAGACTGAGGAGCTAGACTATTATCAATGGATTCCAGTTTCTTTGGACTCTATTCTCGGGACAAAGTCAGAACAGATTAATTTTTACCCTAATTTAGACTCCTTAAACAAAAATTCTAGGCTTGAAAAATACAAAGTATGAGAATTATGGTCCTATTTTTTAAGGGAAGGCCACATTGGGCTGATGAAAACAATAGTACTATAAGCCAAGCTTGCTGCTAGTACAGAGCAATTTCCCTGGTCATTACCTCCAATGACCCAGGACACATGAGCATGTCAAGTCCCACTTCCTCCTCCTGACAGCCCAGGTGGGGTTAAGGAACAAGAAGGGGCTGTCTCATCTACACAGGTCCATATTCTGGAAACTTTGCCTTCCCAGTGTTGGGCTGGAAAGAAGTCATCTGCCCCAAAAGGTGATGGAAATCGGAATCAAGTCTCACAGATAGATTACCCAAATGTATGAACTTTTCCATGGTCCCTGCCTTCCCCCACACTTTCTGGGATTACACCAGGGTGCAGCTGATAATTAAGAACTCAATCCAGCCCTGGCTGGTTTGGCTCAGCGATTAGAACGTCGGCCTGCGGTCCAGAAAGACCCGAGTTCGGTTCCCACTAAGGGCATGTACCTCGGTTGCAGTTTGTCCCCGGCCCTGGTTGGGTCGTGTGGATGGCAGCCACTCGATGTGTACCTTTCACGTCGATGTTTCTCTCTCTCTCTCTCCCTCCTACTCTATCTGAACAAAAAATGAAAAAATGTCCTCGGGTGAGGATAAAAAAAAAGAACTCAATCCAAAGGCTGAGGGATAAATAATTTCTTTGGATTAACATTCTTCTGTGAAATACAAGTACTGATTCAGTGAGTCAGTGTATGAGAAAAGACCCTCTTAAATGATACCACTTCTTTTTTTTTTTTTTTAAATACTCACCCGAGAATAGTTTTCTATTTATCTTCAGATGGAATAGGAGGGAGGGAGAGAGAAAGAGAGAAAAATGTCATCATGAGAGGGACACATCAACTAATTTCCTCCCGCCCAACCCTGACAAGGGCCGGGGACAAACCGCAAATGAGGTACGTGCCCTTGACTGGAACTGAACCCGCAACTCACTGGTCCATGGACTGATGATCTAACCACTGAGCCAAACTGGCCAGGGCAATACCACCTCTTATAAACACTATTTATTTTTCCTAAGTCTGGATTTCCTGGAAGTCTTCCATTTCTGCCATTTGAAGGCTGGTCTACTTCTAGGCTGAACCAGAGAATATAAACAGAACCAACCACAATTGATCCAATACCCCAAAAGTGTTTTATTTCAAATGCTGATCCCTGCCCTGTGATAAGAAAGAAACTTATGTTAGTTTGCTTCTTACAGTCCCTGCTGCAGAAAAAAACTAGTGTCGTATATTCTCTAAAACAGTGTTTTTCATATAGACCCAGAAGGTAGATATAAAATGTGAAGAAGTGGGTCCAGAGCTGTGCATAGCAGCCACCCACTGGGCCCAGCTATCAGCTGTGGTTATCGAGGATGAGACTGCTGTAAACACCCAGCAGGACAGGAGAGAATAAAGGTAGTTTTTTCTGCAGCATGATGGAGATGGATGACTTCACAGCTCCCAGCCACCTCATCACCCATACTTCACCCCAGGAGGGACTTTTGTCATCAGGCTAACTGAGGCTTATGGGCCTCTCCTTGTGGCTCTTCATAGTCTTCTCCAGGTTTTAGCTGGGGTCCAGGGATCATCACCGTCTGAAAATCAGGAAGCTGAGTTATCTACTACCATCAAAGCCCATGGCTTACCCTGGAGAGATTCACCCTTGCCTTCATGCCCACCCCTAACAGGATTCCCCTTTCCTGGTGATGCATCACCCCCTCTTTCAACTAGGTGGCACCCAACAGGATTGGCTTAGGATGCACTAGTATAGCCTCAGCTCTGTTAAATCACACAAGCTACCTTACCTTAAGGATAGGCTGCTTAGGGGGTGCCCATGGAGGGATGATCTTGCCATGCATTCTCCAGCTTCCATAAGGGTTTGTCAGGTGCTTTTCAAAGACAACATACTCCAGGACATCCTTGGGCACATCTTCTTGTCCATACATCAATCTGCCAAACCGGTCATAGATAGCCAAAGTCTGCAAGGATGAGAGCAAGTCTGGCCTGTTAGTCCTCAGAATTGTTTTGTTTTATTTTGTTCCTGGGTTTTTTTTATTTTGTTTTGTTTTTCATGCAACCATTTCTTAAACAACCATAACAAAACATTTTAATGGGTAGAAAAAATTATCTCAGAAAGTTCCGAATCTAGACTAACTGATCAACTACTGACACTTTACTCTTAGAAGTTTTTTTTTTGATTGGGGAGGGGAGGAGGGAGGAAGTTGAGACCAAGAAGGGTGGGAGAGAATATCTTTGCACCTATCTTAGTAGAGCTAACTTCTAGCAGTAGCAAGGGTGTAGAGAAACAGCAAGGAAGACAGCAGTGAACCTTTCCTTAGAACCCACAGTCCCAGGCAGCTGTAACCAGAATTCCAGAGGTAGGTGCCCAAACTGAGAGTGAAGAAAAGCTGGGAAGAAAGCAGACTGGTGCCTTTACCTGCCGGGTATGCATGCGGACGGTGACCTGGCCATATATGTTGCCCTGGTTCACCATACTTGAACAGCGAACCTGAACCACTCGGGCTGGCTCTAAAGATTCTACAAAGCTCCAGCGGACGGTCTTATATTGGAGGTCCCAGACCATGTCCTGAGGGCAGAAGAGAACAAGTTCTACTGAGTTTTCCCCCCCTTTAGGAAAGCTGGTGCTTCCTTCCATACCTGCTCTCACTTCTTGCGATATTACAGCCAACATGCAACATTTCCCACCAAATGCTTTTTTGTGCCTTCTTTTTCACCATCCCAAGTTTTTATTAAACTATTGCTCAATCAAGCCCACCTCAAAACAACTCTTTTCATTTAAATCACAACTCAAGAACAACCTACTTCCTGGAGGACCCTTCTCCAAATCAATGAAAACCACATTCCAAACTGCCAGCTTTTCTCCCCCCTCACTTTTTCATTGAATTTACGGGGGTGACATTGGTTAATAAAATTATATAGGTTTCAGGTATACAATTCTGTAATACATCATCTGTGTATTACATTGCGTATTCACCATCCCAACCTCCTATACACTTTCATATTCTGCTATTGAATGTATTACTGTTGGCTGCCCAATCCCCTGTTTTAACAGAGAAGAGTGGGATTTTATAGGGATATAAAGGCTAAACTGATAGAAACTGAAGTTCTTATTCTTGAATCACAAAGTCCCCCTCCTTGGGGGTCTCCCAAAGTACCTACCTAGCACCTGCTACCCGACAACGTAAGCCTTGTGAGTGCTCGTTAAACCCTTTATTATAGTTATAGTGTAGGCTGGCCTAACGTGGCCTATACCCTGATCTCAGGATCCATACTTGAGGTTTCAATACCGCTTGCTAAGAGAATTCCTCTTTCCTCATTTGCATGGCCTTTATCAGAGTCCATGTCAAATCATTATCATTCAGGCAAAAACAATGGAACTTCAGTTTTTGCTTTAAACTTCCTGCACTTTCGCCCGGCTGGTGTGGCTCAGTGGATTGAGTGTCGTCTGTGCCATGGGCTGAGAGGTCCCAGTTCAATTCCCGGTGAGGGCACATCCCCAGGTTATGGGCTCGATACTTGATAGGGGGTGTGCAGGAGGGCAGGAGGTAGCCAATCAATATTTCTCTCTCACATTGATGTTTTTATCTCTCCCTCCCTCCCTCTCTCTCTTTAAAAAATCAATAAAAACACATAAAAAAAGGGGGTTTCTATTTAAATAAATAAATAAATACATAAACTTCCTACACTCTCAAAACTGATCCTTTTTTTTTTTTCATTTATCTTCAGATAGAGTGGGGGGGGGGAGGAAGGGGGAGAGAGAGAGAAACATCCACGTGAGAGAGACACATGGAGTGGCTGCCAACCAGGGCCGAGGACAAACTGCAACCCAGGTACGTGTCCCTAGCAGGAACCGAACCTGGGACTCTCTGGTCTGCGGGCCAATGCTCTAACCGCTGAGCCAAACTGGCCAGGGCAAAACTGATCCTTCTTAAGAAAACCAAAGGTGATGTTTACAATATGACCATTCAGCATCCCACAATTCCAAGGATGAGAACCTACCGGAAAACAGTTTTCAGTTGCCAAGGTATGAAGTCGGTCATGGTCTGAGCTAAAAAGGAAAGAGAGATATATCCTTGACTCCTGCTTTTATAGTACCCTGTATGAAAGTTGAAAACGACCCCAAAGCCCGGCCGGTATGGTTCAGTGGTTGAGCGTTGGCCTGTAAGCCAGGAGGTCACCGGTTCAATTCCCGGTCAGGGCACATGCCCAGATTGTGGGCCCGATCACCAGTGGTGGGCATGCAGGAGGCGGCCAATCGATGTTCTCTCCCATCAACATTTCTATTTCTCTCTCCCTCTCCCTTCCTCTCTCTCTAAAATCAATAAAGAAAAAAAATTTTTTTTTAAAGAAAATGCCCCTGAAAATGAAAAACAATTCATTTTTACAAACATTTTCTTCACTCCCACTACAAGCCAGGTAATATGCTAAGTCCTGGGGACACAAAGATGAACAATAACATGATTTATCAGAAAACCCTGAGCCCCTCCATAGCAGAGTAAAGTTCGATCTGAATCTCAGAAGCAGAAAGAAATTTTTCTGAAATTATTATACATCCTTAAGATGGGCAAGAGACCTTTACTGGGACATGGGGACTGGTTTTTGCTCTAAGCTGCAACTGGGTATAAAATTCAACATAAATAAAAGCTCATCTTCTCTCCTTATCTCAGATACATCACTGGCTCAGCCTTGTACCTTACACTGTTGTCTTTGAACCTAGCCAAAGATAACCATCTGTCTTGACTGGTCCATCCTCCCCCTCCCCAATGCCCATCTTTGTTACTGCCACAGTGACCTAGTCATGCTGATTCTATGCAGTAAGAATAAAAAAACAGATAGCAAACCCCACCTTTGTATGTACAAGATTTTAGGGAGATTCCTAATTGAGGAGTTTCAAGTCAACCTATGAGCATAGGTTAGTTTCTTTTACATACACATTCATGACTTTTCCCCATAGTTTAATACTTCCTGGGCAGTTTAAGTCTTTGTCCCTTTGAAAATTCTTGTCTCTAATCCCAGAATGGGTAAGAAATTCGTTTTATCTGCTTCCTTCCACCTCTATTCCTAAGAGAAAAGATTCCAACTCATTTCTCCCACTGTAGCTCTAGACTAGACCAGAGTGAGTTGTGGTGATAGCTACCGCAACCACTATGCCTGGTACCTGAATGAACCCTTCCTCCTCCATCCTGACCTAGAAATCCTCAGTAGAAATAAATACTCTTTTCTATGAGTTCAATTACTATTTTGCAATAAAACTTACACTGAAAAATAAAGACATCTGCTTCTGCAACATAATGAACTGAACTAATGTAAAACTACTCCCACTATAAACATCTAGAAACGCTGGATAGAATATAATACACACAGACACACACACACACACATTTTAAATACACTATCCTAGTTTACTAGGAAAAAAGGTAAATCCCTAGATGCCAGGAAGGCAGACAGAACTAAAACCAGATGAAAAGATTACAGCCTGCTATAACAACAGCACAAAGGATGACAAAGGGATCCAGAAATAGGATCTGAAGGCTAGGAGCTGATCTCTTCCTAAAACTTTGGACCCTCAAAAAATAGGGTATAGGAACTGAAATCCATGAATAAATTTATGACCATAAAAAAGAGTCCTGTACCTGTAGGAAATGGGAGACTAGAAAAACAGCCCACCAACCTAGAGATAAAAGCTTCTCTCAACCTAGAGATAAAAGTTTCTCTCGGTCTAGGGCTCTGAGTTGGGGGGGAGGGTGTGGAAAAAAAATAAAGCCTTAAGCTCACATTATGTGTAAATGTGGATACGGCATTTATGGTACCTGTAAGGTTAAGAATTCCTAAGCTAAGAAATTAACATAAAAACTGATACCTGGCCAATGATATCCCTGGGATATCTAGCAGAAACACACACAAAACGTTCATAACTTAGGTTGTTTAAATCCTCACCTGAGGATATTTTTTCCATTGATTTTTAGATAGAGTGGGAGGGAGGAAGGGAGAGAGAAAGAAACATCAATGTGAGAGACACCCCCGACCAGGACTGGGATCGAACCTGCAACCCAGGTATGTGCCCTTGACCAGGAATCAAACCCATGACTCGTTGGGCTAACGCTCTAACCACTGAACCAAACCAGCCAGAGCATAACTTAAGTTGTTTAGAATTCCCTCAAAAGAAACACTCTCCACAGAAGATGAACTTACAACTAAATGTTTCAAAAACAGACCTGGAATCTGTACAGCAAAATCAACAGACTCAGACATCAAGCAAAATAATAAAGTAGGAAGCTCTAGGGGTGGGTCCCTCCGATGAAACAACTGGTAAACTAGAAAAAAAATGACCAGAACCACTATTTTAGAACTCTATTCTGACGGGACACTTGTAACAACCAGGGGAGTGCCTGATGAAGGGAGAAGCTAGTGATCTTGGGTAGAAGAACATGTGCAAACTACCTATCATTCCCCTTCCTCAGCTGTCATGACTGTGGGATAGTGGTCTGTGTTCCTGGAGTGGATGGCTGGTAGGTACCTTGCCCTCTAAAAATTTGGGAGTTGCATATTTTGGTCAGTCTGGTGGATAGCAGAGACCAGAGCAAATGTCATTGTTTTAGCCCTGCTGGCTGGAGCAACTTCTCCCATTGACATGAATCAAAAGATTTAAAGAACAAGAACACCTGTTTTGTTTTTATTCAGCCAGACATTTAAGGAAATCTTGGTCAGGTCACTGACTGACTGCAGAAATAACAGAACAGCAACTTCAATGATTACACACAACAAAGAATACACACTTAGCAATATTAGTTTGGAGAAATCACAAATGGGTGGTGGCAGCACTGATGAGCAAAAGCAATAATTCCTGAGTAGTACAGAAATCTAATTTCCAGAGTTACACATTATAGTACTCAGAATGTCCAGTTCTCAACAAAAATTACAAAGAAACATGAAAGTATGGCCCATTAGCAAAAAAAAAAAAAACTTGACACAAACCATTCCTAAGGAAGCCTAAACACTGGAATTACTAGTCAAAGATGAGAACTCAGCCCTGGCTGGTTTGGCTAAGCAGTTAAAGCATCAGCCCTCATACCGAAGGGTCTCAGGTTCGATTCTTGGTCAAGGACACATCTCACATCCATCTTTCTCCTTTCTTCCTCCCTCTCTCCCTTCCACTCTAACTAAAACTCAATGAAAAAATATCCTTAGGTGAGGATTAACCCACCCAAAAAAAGATAAATCAACTGTCCCAAATATGAACAATGAAATAAAAAAAAAAACCCCACAAAGCACTGGCCGGTTTTGCTCAGTGGTTAGAGCATTGGCCCATGAACCAAAGAGGCCCACTAAGGGCATGTACCTGGGTTGCAGTTTGTCCCTGGCCCCAGTTGGGGTCGTGTAGGTGGCAACCACTCAATGTGTCTCTCTCTCTTTTTTTTTTATCCTCACCCAAGGACATTTTTTCATTTAACTGAAGATAGAGCAGGAGGAGAAAGGGAGAAAGAGAGAGAGAGAAGCTTCGATGTGAGAGAGACACATCGAGTGGTTGCCACCCACACGACCCCAACCGGGGCCAGGAACAAACTACAACCAAGGTACATGCCCTTAGCAGGAACTGAACCTGGGACTCTCTGGTCTGCAGGCTGATGCTCCAACTGCTAAGCCAAACCCAGGGTTCGATGTGTCTCTCTCACATCAATGTTTCTTTCTCTATCTTCCTCCCGCTCTATCTGAAGATAAATGCAAAAATGTCCTCGGGTGAGGATAAAAAACAAAACAAAATCATGGACAAAGAACTAAATTAGATAAAAATGGCTCAACAAAATAAGAACATGGATAGAGACAGAATTATTGCCTAGTTGGTATGCCTCAGTTAGTTAAGTGTTGTCCCATGCACCAAGAGGTCACTGGTTTGATTCCTGGTCAGAGCATATACCTGGGTTGTGAGCTTGATCCCCAGTAGGGGGTGTGCAGGAGGCAGGTGATCAATGTTTCTCTCTCATCAATATTTCTCTCTCGCTCTCCCCCCATCTCCCTTTGTCTCTCTCTAAAATCAATAAAAACGTGTGTGTGTGTGTGTGTGTGTGTGTATACATATATATTTTTTTAATCCTCACCTGAGGATATTTTTCCATTTATCTTTAGATAGAATGGGAGGGAGGGAAGGAGGGAGAGAGAAAATTATTGCTGTGGAGAGAGACACATCAATTGGCTGCCTCCCACATGACCCCAACCAGGACCAGGAACTAAACTGCAACCAAAGTACGTGCCCTTGACCAGAATTTAACCCACAACTCTTTGGTCCATGGGCAGATGGTCTAACTGCTAAGCCAAACCAGCCAGGGCAATAAAACCATATATTTTTTTAAAGTATTTTTTCTTTATTGATTTTTGAGAGAGAGGAAGTAAGAGAGAAATATAGAAACATCGATGAGAAAGAACATCAATTGGCTGTCTCCTGCATGCCCCCCAGTGGGGATTTGGCCCACAACCCGGGCATGTGTCCTGACCAGGAATCGAACCAGCGACCTCTTGGTGCATGGGTTGATGCTCAACCACTGAGCCACACCAGCCGGGCAATAAAAACATACTTTTAGAAAATAGATAGAAATTATGAAAAGGAACCAAACTCTAGAGCTGAAAAGTACAATAATTGTAATTTAAAAAATTCACTACAGGGGTTGAAAAACAGATCTGAGCAGGCAGAAAAAAGGATCAGCAAACTTGGTAATGAGGCAACTGAAATTATCCAGTGTGAGAAACAATAAAATGCAAAAATCAATAGAAGACTAGCAAACCAAAGTCAGCATCTTACTAAAAGGATCACAAACCACAACTAAGTGGGATTTATTCCTAGAATGCAAGGGTGGTTTAACATAAGAAAATCAGTTAATGTAATACACCACATTAATAACATGAAGTGAAAAAAAACATAATCTCAATTGATGCAGAAAAAGCATTTGACAAAATGCAACATTCTTTCATGATAATAACACTCAGTAAACTAGGAATACTTGAAGGAAATGCATTCAACATAATAAAGAGCTAGTAGCATACTCAATGGTCAAAAACTGAAAACTGTTTGCCTAAGATCAGAAACAAGACAAGGATTCTTGCTTTTATCACTCTAGTCAACATAATCCTAAGGAGTTCTTCTAGCCAGGGCAAGTAAGCAAGAAAAAGAAATAAAAGGCATCCAAATTAGAAAAGAAGAAGTAAAACCTCTCTGTTTACAGATCTCATAGTCTTACATACAGAAAATCCTAATGATTCCACAAAAAAGTGTTAGCACTAACAAACAAATTCAGCAAAGTTAAAGGATACAAAATCAAAATACAAAAATCGGTAGTATTTCTATATACCAATAATGAACAACCAGTAAAGAAAATTAAGAAAATAATTAATTCACCCTGGCAGGATAAGAAAACAATGAATTCCATTACAATGTAGTACTGGCATAAGGACAGACATACAGACCAATGGTATAGAATAGAGGGCCCAGAAATAAACCCTCATATATATGGTCAGTTGATGTTCAACAAGGCTAAGACCATTCAGTGGGAAAGGACAGTCTCTTTAACAAATGGTGCCGGGAAAACTGGATATCCACATGCAAAAGAAGGAATTGGATCCTTACACTTTAGACCATATACAAAAATTAACTTAAAATGGATCAAAGACCTAAATGTGAGAGCTAAAACTATAAAGAAAACATAGTAGAAAGACTCTGTGACATTGGATTTGGCAATGATTCTAGGATGTGACACCAAAAGCCCAGACAACAAAAAAGAACATATAAAGTGGACTTCATCAAAAATGTAAAACTTTTGGCCCTGGCCAGTGTGGCTCAGTGGATTGAGCATTGTCCCATGGATTGAGAAGTCCCAGTTTGATTCCTGGTCAGGGCACATGTCCAGGTGGTGGGCTTGATCCCCAGTAAGGGGTGTGCAGGAGGCAGCTGATTGATGTATCTCTCTCACATTGATGTTTCTACCTCTCTTGTCCTCTCTCTCTAAAATAAAATCAATAAAAACATTCCCTCCCTCCCTCCTTGTCTCTTTCCTTCCTTCCTTTCTTATTTTCCTTCCTTCCTTTCTTATTTATTTTTATCCTCAACCGAGGACATTTTTGCATTTATATTCAGATAGAGCGGGAGGGTGAGAAGGAGGAAGAGAGAGAGAGAAACATCAATGTAAGAGAGACACACTGAGTGGCTGCCACCCACACCCCAACTGGGGCCAGGGACAAACTGCAACCAAGGTTCGTGCCCTTAGTGGGAACCAAACCCAGGACTCTGGTCTGCGGGCCGATGCTCTAACCACTTAGCAAAACTGGCCAGGGCACGATAAAAATATTTTTAAAAATTAAAAAACTTTTGGCCTTTCCAGAGGTGAACAATAAAAATAGGTTTCAAAAAAAGATTTATTATACTGATTTGCATAATACATAAAACAATACACATATACATGTAGTGAAAAGTATAAAAATAAAATATGCATGGGAATGATGCATAAGATAGCGGTTACCTATAGGAAGAAAAAGAATGAGGAGATGAGGCTTTAGCTCTATGTTTTATCCCTGCCCCTCCCCCAATTAGGGATGGTGAAGCAAATATAACAAAATGTAAGCATTTTATTAACATGAATAGTACTTTTTAAATATATATTTGAAATATTTCATCACTTAAAAAACAATTTGCCTGGTCAGTGTGGCTCAGTGGTTGAGCATCGACCCATGCACCAAGAGGTTGCCAGTTTGATTCCTGGTCAGGGCACATGCCCAGGTTGTGGGCCAAACCCCCAGTAGGGGGCATGCAGGAGGCAGCCAATTGATGTTCTCTCTTATCGATGTTTCTATCTCTCTCTCCCTCTCCCTTCCTCTCTCTCTAAAAATAAATAAAGAAAAAAAAAAGTAAAAAGGTTAAGTTAAAAAAAAAAAAATTTAAGAAATAAAACACGCCCTGGCCGGTTTGGCTCAGCGGTTGGAGCATCATCCTGCGGACCAGAGAGTACCGGGTTTGGTTCCCGCTAGGGGCATGTACCAAAAATAAATACAATAAAAAATTATTTAAAAGAAATAAAACAACACAGGACAGAAGGGCCAGGATTTGTTAGCTGGTGCTGAAAGAAAACCCTTGATTGCATCCTTGCCCTGGGACTTTGCCAGCTACCACTCAGTGGCACAGAGAAAAAAGAAAAAAAAAGAGGGGGGAAAGAAAGAAAACACATATAAGAATAAATAATTAATGAATTTTAAAGTACAGATTTAGGGTCCTACCTGAAGCCTAGCCATAGCAGCCACCGCTGAAGAACGTCAGCAACAGTCCAAGGACTGGCACTTAAAATTATTCCAGGCCCTTCAGTGGTTTTCTTTTAATCTCCCTAGTAGCTTTGAATTTTTCCTCAGCTGAATCAATAAAAAGTTGCAAATTTTCAAAAGAAATGTATATAAAATAACTTAAGGAAATAAAAAAATATATATATATATATATATATATATATATATATATATATATGATAAACACACAAAAAGGGTGAGGAAGAATTAGGGATAAGGTGGGGTCAAAACATTCAGCAGTTTCCCAACATTTGTAGGTAGAGTTGAGCCAGACCAAATGGTGAAACTCCCAGCATCAGGGAGAAGGGTTAACGACAGCTCCAGGGTCCAATTATTACCCACATAAGAAGTTCTTCCACTATAAGTTCTTACCTGAAGGGGGGAAAAAAATCTGTGCCTAGAATAATAGCTGCTGGGAACATAATGGGTATAAGACAGGGAGTTCACTTACTTGTTTAGACAAAGGTGAGCTTCAATGAAGATATCCTTAGCTTTTTCAGGGAAGTCCTTTATTTTAAAATTAGCATCATATTCTCTTATCTTCCGTATTCTGTAAAATTAAGCATGAAAATCATTTTTAAAGACTTCGTTCAAGCATGGCCGGTGTGGCTCAGTGGTTGAGCATCGACCCATGCACCAAGAGGTCGCCAGTTCCATTCCCGGTCAGGGCACATGCCCAGGCTAAGGGACCTGATCCCCAGTGGGGGGCATGCAGGAGGCGGCCAATCGATATTCTCTCTCATTGATGTTTCTATCTCTTTCCCTCTCTAATATCAATAACAAAAAATTTTTTTAAAAAAACGTCATTCCATTCTACAAATCATAGCTTATATTAATCTCCATTAATGTCTATCTACTTATTCATTCAATAATGTTTTTTGAATGTGTCAAGTCCTGTAAATTCAACCTTCTAACTCTCAGTTAAATTAATCATTCTAAAGAAAGACCAAGGTTTCTCAGAGTAAAACTTCAGAATTCTGGCATCAAAGAAAACATCTTATAAGCACTAAGAAAGAACACAGATTTCATACAAAGGCTCAAGAGTCAGAAATGAACTGGCTGGGTAGCTCAGGTAGTTCAAGCGTTGTCTTGATACAGTAAAGTTTTGAGTTTGATCCCCACTCAGATATAAGAATCAACCAATGGTCCTGGGGGTTTGGCTCAGCAGTTAGAGCGTCAGCCCGAGGACCAATGAGCCGCAGTTTCTTTTTTTTTTTTTTTTTATCCTCACCCGAGGATATTTTTTCATTTTTTGTTCAGGTAGAGTGGGAGGGAGAGAGAGGAACAGAGAAAGAGAGAGAAACATCGATGTGAAAGGAACACATCGAGTGGCTGCCACCCGCACAACCGACCAGGGCCGGGGACAAACTGCAACCGAGGTACGTGCCCTTAGCGGGAACCGAACCCGGGTCTCTCAGGACCGCAGGCCGACGCTCTAACCGCTGAGCCAAACCGGCCAGGGCGAGCCGCAGTTTCAATTCTGGTCAAGGGTACATACCTCGGTTGTGGTTTGTCCCCGGCCAGGGTTGGGTCGTGGGGGAGGCAACCAGTCGATGTGGCTCTATCATGTCGATGTTTCTCTCTGTCTGATAATAAATGGAAAAATATCCTCAGGTGAGGAATAAAAAAAAAAAATCACCCTGGCCAGTTTGGTTCAGCGGTTAGAACATTGGCCTGCGGTCCCGAGAGACCTGGGTTGGGTTCCCGCTAAGGGCGCATACCTCGGTTGCAGTTTGTCCCCAGCCCTGGTTGGTCGTGCGGGTGGCAGCCACTCGATGTGTCCCTTTCACGTCGATGTTTCTCTCTCTCTCTCTGTTCCTCTCTCCTTCCCACTCTACCTGAACAAAAAATGGAAAAATGTCCTCAGGTGAGGATAAAAAAAAAAATCAACCAATGAATGCACAAATAAGTGGGACAACAAATCAATGTTTCTCTCTCTCTCTCTCTAAAATCAATAAATAAAATAAAATAAAGACTCAGAATGACACTGGGCTTCTAAATAGCAACAACAGAAGTTGAAAAGACAATGTAGTAGTGCTTTTAATTGTGAGGAAAAAAGGAATTTCTAGCCCAGAATTGTATACCTGGGCAAATTATAAATGAAGTGAGAGAGTAAAAGAAAAAGTTTTCTTAGATTTGCAAGATCTCATTTCATCTACCATGCACCCTTTCTCAGGAAGCTGTTGGAGAATATGCTCCACCAAAACAACAAAATGAACCAAGAAAGAAAAAGATATAGAATACAAGAAAAAGGGAATACAACATCAAAGCAAGGCAACAGGAATATTAGGATGATGAAAAAAGCAGATACCAAGTTATACAGTAGCCCTGAACAGCAACAAATACAGTTTACAAGAGGTAGCCCTGTCTGGTTTGGCTCAGTGGCTAGAGCATCAGCCCGTGGACCAAAGAATCATGGGTTCGATTCTGGTCAAGGGCACGTACCTCAGTTGCTGTTGGTCCCCGGCCCTGGTCGGGGTTGTGTAGGAGGCAACCAGTCAATGTGTCTCTCTCACGTTGATGCTTCTCCCCCCCCCCCCCCCATTCTAAGGATAAATGGAAAAATATCCTCGGATGAGGAATAAATAAATAAATAAATAAATAAATAAATAAATACAGGTAAGGAGGCTCCAGAAGGGATTTCTTCTTGAAGATGAAACTGATAAAGTACTTAATGTTTCAACATACTGAGAGCAAATTTACAAACCAGGGGTTGTGTAAGCAAATGAAGGAAAAAAAGGGTACTTAACACAAGAAAAATATTATGTATGAAAGAAAAAAACATTAAAGTGTCCTCAACTATCAACAGCATTTTCTAATTATATTAATGTAAACAGGGAATTTCTGATCTAATCAAAGTGTTAATATAAGTATATTAAGCCCTGACTGGTTTGCTCAGTGGTTAGAGCATCATCCTGAAGACCAAAGGGTCACAGGTTCGAGTTCAGTCAAGGGTGCCTACCTGGGTTGCAGGTTTGATCCTTGGCCCAGGTCAAGATCATGCAGAAGGCAATCAATCAATGTCTCTCTCTCACATTAATGTTTCTCTCTCTCTCCTCCCTCTCTTTCTCTCCCTCCTTCCCTTCCACTCTCTCTTAAAGAAAAAATAAAAAATCGCCCTGGCCGGTTTAGCTCAGCGGTTGGAGCGTCGACTTGTGGTCCAGAGAGACCCGGGTTCGGTTCCCACTAAGGGCATGTACCTCGGTTGCAGTTTGTCCCAGGCCCTGGTTGGGTTGTGCGGGTGGCAACCACTTGATGTGTCCCTTTCACGTCTATGGTTATCTCTCTCTCTCTCTCTCCCACTCTATCTGAACAAAAAATGAAAAAATTTCCTCGGGTGAGGATAAAAAAAAAAAAAAAAAAATCAATGGAAAAATATCCTCGGGTGAGGATTAACAACAACAAAAAAAGTATATTGTAAGGATGAGGGACACCATATCCAAATAGAATTTATCCCAGGAATGCAATGTTGGCTTAACATTCAAAAATCAATTAATGTAATATAACTTATTAAAAAAGGATATATGTCACATGATCTCAAAAGACACAGTAAAAGCATTTTACAATCAACACACCCCTTCACACTCTTTTCACCTGAGTCTTGCTTATACTGTTTTGTCTCCCTAAAATTCTATTCCTTACTACACCCCTCTACATATCTAACTCCCAGTAATTCTTTAGGTCCCACATTTAAATGTCAGTTCCTCAGAGAAGCCTTCCCTGAACTCCCAGACCAAGTTATCCTTCCTGTCTATGTTCCTATAGCACTCACACTTCACTATTCCTCTAATTACTTAATTCTGTTTAATCAGTATTTCATGGCTATTTTCTTATCCTAGATAACTCCATGATAAAACCACATGTGCTGTATTAACCGTCATCATGGACCCAAATAACAAAGAGTTCACACACAGTCCAGGAAAGAAATACATGAAAGAAAATCATCACATAATAGTTATTAGAAGTAGTTTGTATACGTGCACAGCTACAATTATAGCAAAGGCAGCTCCAAAAAGAGTCAGGGAAGGCTTAAAAGCAGACACAGTGCTGAACTGGTTCCTGAGGAAAGAATTGGAGTTACCAGGTAAAGAGGAGACAGACATTTTCAGGCAAAGAAAAAGATGTGCAAAGACACAGAGGCATTGCACAATACTGTCAAGGAATTGACAATTAGTTTGGACACGCTGAAGTTTAGTATGAAAAAAGAGAGAACAAGATGATGATGAAAAGGAAGGAAAGAGCTAGATTATAAAAAGCCTTGAATAGCACTAAAGAAATCTAGATTTTATTCTTCAGGTAACAGGGAGCCACAAAAGGGTTTTAAGCAGGAAAGGTGGTGTGATAAGATCTGTATTTAGAGAAATAGGTTATGGCCACATGAAGAATTAAAACCAACTCAATATAGTTCTGTAAAGAAATCTACATATGACCCTAAAGAACCTTAGAGTGACAATTACTAAATGACCTTTCAACTAAAAGAGGGACAGAGAAAAAGGTTTTTGCTCCTGTTCCTCAACTAAGGCCCAGTTAGCTCCCAAGAACAGGTCTGTCTTCTTTTTTTTAAATATGTTTTTATTGATTTTTAGAGAGAAAGGAAGTGAGAGGGAGACAGAAACATCGATGGGAGAGAAATATCAATCAGCTGTCTCCTGCATGCCCCTACTGGGGATAGAGCCCACAACCCTTGCATGTGCCCTGACCAGGAATTGAACCGGTGACCTTTTGGTGCATGGGTCAATGCTCAACCTCTGAGCCACACCGGCTAGGCCAGATCTGTCTTTTTGACCCCTTTTGTCTTTCTTTACTCTCTAAAATTTAAATCTAATATATGTTTCTCATACATGCTCTCTATTATTACTTTAAATTTTTAAATATATGATCAAAAAGTCCTACAAACTTCACAGTCAACTCCCTGATGTGACAAAAAAATAACCAATAAAGACAGAGATGCTAAGAATCAGAATGGCCACATTATTCTACATTAACTATGGACTCTATTACAGAGAAAGAAAATACCGCCAAATTATTAAGGAGTTATATCCAATCCAATTAACCTAAGATGATCTCTCTGGAATAAAGTAGTAATAAGAAATTTTTATTCTAATATTAACTCCCACTTGTCTCAGACACCTACGACAACTGTGATGCCACATTCTTCTTCAATCGCTCAGTTTTTTGTGCCAGTCCATCCTTTGAAAGAGATGACACCCGAGCATCACCCTCTGGAGGAACATAGGTGTCAAAGATACCAGCTGTAATGAGAGAAGAAGAAAACTAATAAAGTATTGAAAGACTGAGAAAAAGTCATCTTGAGGCTATATAAAATTGGGAGGGATCCTGGATAAAGTAGACTAATGAACTAGACTTCCATGTAGAGGAAATCATGTTACATTAGGAAAAAGATAGTTTAAATCTTCTCTCAGAGCCTCAGTTTCTTCTTGTACAAAATGGGGAAATTTCACCTTTGCCTTCTAGGAATAGTGTGAAAACAAGATCAAAGATGACCTCATAAAATATAGTGTATACAAAGTAAATCATTATTGAGGCTCAATTGATTTTGTGGCTAATTAAATACTGTCAGTCATAGTCCAAATAATCCCACTTTTTATCTCTGACAGAAGGAGATTGAGTCAAGGTCTCAAAAATACCATGCCTCACCTGTACAAGCCAGATGTATGGGACGCTCCAAACGTTCTGGAGGAATGACCACTCCTGCTTTCCTGGCGTGCTCTATAAACTCCTTTTCTGATTTGTACTTGGGTTGGTAAGTAGGAGGTGTGAAACGTTTTTTAGTTCTCACTGGAACTACAGCTATGGGCTGAGTCACCAGGACTGGCTGGAAGGCAGGAAAAGTTAGGATATAGGTAACCTGGGGGAAAAAACTACTATCTTGAACAAACTCTAAGCAAAGGTAGAAAAGGCACATCCAAAGAATGACTTAGGGGCAATGGGTGTTTTTACTAGAAGCCAGTAAGCAACTGTTACTAAATGCCACTAAATATTTACTGAAGAATTCCGTTTAGTACTCTCCATAGTACAAGGCTATGCCAACTCCTAGGGATACAGATTAATTAAAGCAAGCCTTTTGCTTTCAAAGAACCTTCAGTCTGATGGGGAACTTAAACACCAACCCAATGCTGAAATATACAGAATGCTACTATTAAAGCATAAGAAAAGTCTTCTTCTTGGCATTTCCTCTGTTTTTACTGAGATTACATTCTGCTCATTTTATTGGTACCCTCACAGTAAACTTCGTCGTTCTCTCAACTGATCAGTACGCTCTTTAAAGGCCAGTCTCTTTTCTCTCTGACCCTGAGGTTTTCCAGATAGTTTCATTTAGGATATTTATAAAATCGCAGATAAGCGAGCACACCTTCCAAACCATTACGTCTTTCCCCTTTAAACCCTCCTCGCCAAACAAACCCAGGCCAAACCGGAGAAACTTAATCCCCGAAAACTTGCTCGCCCTCTTGACCCTACCCAGGCTTTCGCTACTCGGCCACTTAGCTCACCATCTGGGTCCGTTTACCTTCAACTCTTCCCTTGGTATCACTTGTATCGTCTAAGCTCACCAAGGAAAACTGCGAAGGGAGTATTTCCCTCTACTCTGTTCTCCTCCAGCCCCTCGATTCCTACTCGCCCTCTCCCTACGCACCTGCTGAGACCACCATCCTAAAGCCCTGGATAAGCAACACAACCCCCGTGTCGTGGGGGCAGCCATTTTGTTCACGCAAAGGCTGCTGGGTTGGAGACTAAGAGTGAAGAGCCTGGGAGGGGAGAGAAGGCACCTAGGGTGGAGCTGGCTAGGGTGTGGAATTTTCCAGGGCGCGCGCCCTCCGCCAAAGTGTGAGCAGCGCGAACGCGCACGTGCGCGTGGTGTACGAACTACGCGTGCGTACTAAGATGGCGTTAGGGGGTAGGGTGGAACGCACGGCTGTCACGCGCCAACCGCAGAGCGCTGGGGCGCGAGGTGCGCCTGCGCATGAGTCTTTCTGGCGGCCGGGAGTTGCTGCATTCTTGTATGATTGGGACATCGCTGCACCTTGTTTCAATTCGGAGAATAATGGAAAGGTGTGGCTCTTCTGGGACAAGTTGCTTTTTTTTTTTTCAATGCCTACTTTGATCTCAGAAAGGTCAGTAACGAATAGTTTCTTGGTCTGGGTCTGACCTCAGTATACTGTGTAACCTTAAGCTTGAGCCCTAGTTTTCCCAGAATGGACTGTGTGAAGAAAATTTTTTCTTAATGTCAAATAAAGGGAATTAATCTCTACTGTGTTTATTGAACAAACATAATAACTACTGTGTTTATTAAAGCAAAAAACACGTGGACCGACAAAATCATTTCTTGTCATTCTGGGAAAGAGGCATGAGATTAACATTAACAAATTATTGTTTACACTTGGAAATGTTTACCCGGTGCCAGGCAATTTTCTAAGCATTTACATATATTAATTGCATTACTTCTCACCACAAACAAGAGTAATATTCTCTTTTTATGTGTGAGGTTGGTTCGCAAAAAAATTACAATTTTTAGTTAACACTAGATAGCTAATAACAAATCCAAGCAGTCTAACTCCAGAACCTATGCACTAATTACTATGCTGTACTGCTTCATATTCAGTTGTTAAAAGATTCATGATGTTGAGATTATCCTGGAAAATCCAGTGCTGTAATCATTGCTGAATGACACTTTCCATACTTAACCATAGATTCTTACCTTATTCTAACAATTAGTGTTTATTGAGCTCTTACCTACAGTATTTTGCAATGAGTTGGTATTTCCTAGCTGGAGCTTACTAGCTGGAATAGAATTGCTACAAAGTTTCAGGTAAAATGCTGAGGACTATCAAATGAAAGAGAGAGATTAGCCCTGGCCGGTTTGGCTCAGCGGTTAGAGCGTCGGCCTGCGGTCCCGAGAAACCCGGGTTCGGTTCCCGCTAAGGGCACGTACTTCGGTTGCAGTTTGTTCCCGGCCCTGGTTGGTCGTGGGGGTGGCAGCCACTCACACATCGATATTTCTCTCTCTCTCCCCCCCCTCTCCCTCCCACTTTATCTGTACAAAAAATGGAAAAATGTCCTCTAGTGAGGATTTAAAAAAAAAAAGAGAGAGAGATTACTTTTGGGTTTGGGAATCACATGTATTGTCTTAAATCTTGACTTCTCAACTATACTGCAAATTATTCAAGGGTAAGAATTCCCCTACCAGTCCTAGCCACAGCACTGAACCTATAGTTTACACATTAATAGCAACATGGAATTGATAGAGTGTATCTGGGATTATCTGCCCCACTGCTGAGTTTTATGTTGGCCAATGCATACATGGTAGCCAATGCATCCCATATCATTCTCTGCCTGCCCTCTGATCAGCTTTTCATAGAATGCAAATTTCTTTCATATCAAGCCTAGATGAAATAATAAAGTTAATATTTAATTCATTCTGAGATGTATTATAAGAGTGCTTTTTTTATTAGCTGTTCTTTTGGAAAATTCATTTTCCTTCCTATGTCATTAACTTCATGGAAAATTGGGAGCTGTCTGCTGGGGAAGTAACAACACTGGATATTTTTTTATTCTATAACTCTAGTAATTCACATTTCAGAAAAAGCAAGAGAAGGGAACTCATGCAATTAGAGGCAGGAATAAAGTGGTTAGGGGCTCAGCCTCACAATGGACAGTCTTGCACATAGTAGACACTCACATATTTATTTATTCAATAAATGAATAGAATCCCAGATGAAATATGATGAAGCAGAGGGCAAAGTTGACTTCTTATTTCTCCAAATACAGGCGATTCCTAGAATCCCCTGCTGTCCTATTGAAATTTCTAAATGGAGCCTAAGAGAATGGGCTATCCCATGAGCAGTGGGTCATGTACCTGCATTTTCCCCCGTGGGTCATTTACCTGCATTTTTCCCTCTCCCCGTGGCAAGTGACATCTAAGAGTGAAATTCCTAAAATTCTTCTTGGTAACCTACATTCTGGAAGATGCACAGTTGATTTGAAGAAGGAAAATCCTTCTAGAGAATTGAAAGAATCTAATTACAAAACATGTTTATTGATTACACTGAAAGTAATAGGTTTGTATGTATGTTGTACTTCCTTCACTTGAGAGCATGAAGAGCAGAAGTGAATTCTCCAACATAAAGTGACATAGAAGAAACAAAAAATTGTGACTTTCAAAGAAACGTTTCCAAGTTATTTTTAGCTAACAATATTAGCAGAGCTTCTTTGTCACTCCAAGAGGTGACTATCTGTGACTCTCACATAACAGTTATGAGTGCTATAGTGCCTAAATTTACATCTTAGCTCCACCTCCTCTCACCTAGAGAAAAGGGGTAAATAAGTACCTAACTCTTAGAATTGTTATTGTCATTAAATAAGTTAATACATGTTCCCACTCTGGTTAGTTATGGCCACTGCTTCCAAGCCCTATGACTCTGGAGGGATATACAGAGCCTAGCAGAGTCCTAGTAAGTATAACTTTTTGTGCTGGACGCAAATAACATCCCTGCCCCCAGAGTCCACCCCAGTGCAGTGTCCCTAAAGCAAGAGAGCTCCTAACCCAGATACAAACTGGAAATCCTCAGGAAGCCAATATGTTAGCTGTCTTCCCCTAGGGAGCAATTCTCACCTCTGTTGAAACTAAGACCACCTAAAAATCAGAGCAGAAATGAATGAAATTAAAAGCAGGAAAATAATAGAATGAAAGAAACCAAAAGTGGGTTCTTTGAAAGCGTACATCTAGAATAAATTCCTAGAGTGACTGTAATGGTCCATAGGGAATGTGGACTTTGAATTTGGGGAGATATGACCACACTGATCCCCAAGAGAGGCAGCATCAGTGTGCACGCCCTCCACAGTGTGTGGAAAATCTCAGTTTCTGCATAGTCTTATCTATACTGTACATAGCCAATAGTTTTATCATTTGTCAAACTGATGGGTACAAAGAAGAGGGTGTCTTTTTACAAATTTTTATTTATTTTATTTTTTTTAGCTTTCAAAATATTTTTATTTATTTTTTATTTAATTAATTTATTAATTTTTGTTACAGATGTTTCTCTTTTTCTCCCCATTGATATCCCCCTCCCCACCCCTCCTCACCCCTTCCCACCCTGTCCCCAGCTTTGTTGTCCATGTCCATTGTTCATGCATACATGCATATAAATTCTCTGGTTTATCCCTCCCACCCCCTCTTCTGGGGATTATCAGTCTGTACCCCACTTTCACATGTGGAGAAAAGGGGAATCTAGTACACTGCTGGTGGGAATGCAGACTGGTGCAGCCACTATGGAAAACAATATGGTGTTACCTCAAAAAATTAAAAATTGAACTGCCATTTGACCCAGTGATCCCATTTCTAGGAATATACCCTAAGAAGCCTGAAACACCAATCAGAAAGAATATATGTACCCCCATGTTCATAGCAGCACTATTTACAATAGCTAAGATCTGGAAACAGCCCAAATGTCCATCAGTAGACAAATGGATAAAAAAGCTGTACATATACACAGTGGAGTACCACACAGTTGCAAAAAAGAAAGATCTCTTATCCTTTGAGACGACATGGAGGGACCTGGAGAGTATTATCCTAAGCGAAACAAGCCAAGCAGAGAAAGACAAATACCACATGATCTCACTTATTTGTGGAATATAATGAACATAACAGTCTGGTGTCTTATTTTTAAATCCTCACCTGAGGATATGATATTTTTCTGTTTATCAACAGATAGAGTGGGAGGGAGGGAGAGGGAAGGAGAGAGAGAGAGAAAGAGAGAGAGAGTGAGAGAGAGAAACACTGATGTGAGAGAGACATATCGACTGATTGCCTCCCACACAACACAACCAGGGCTGGGGAAAAACTGAAACCAAGGTACATGCCCTTGATCGGAATCGAACCCGTGACTCATTGGTCTGTGGGCCGGTGCTCTAACCATTGAGCACCAGCCAGGGCAAGATAGTGTCTTTTCTTTAGAAGTTTTACATTCATTTTCATGTATTTCTAAGTTAATTGTATATCTTTATCTGTAAAGCATTATTCCAGGTCCTTTGCCCACTTTTCTGTTAATTAGTTGATATTTTTCTTATTGATTCAAACGTACTGTTCATGGCTCTGCCAGTGTTGCTTAGTGGATTGAGTGTTGTCCCATGGATTGAGAGGTCCTTGTTCGATTTCCGGTCAGGGCACATGCCTGGGTTTCGGGCTTGATCCCCAGTAGGCTGCATGCAGGAGACAGCCAATTGATGTTTCTCTCTCACATCGATGTTTCTATCTCTTTCTCCCTTCCACCCTCTCTAAAAAATAAATCAATAAAAACATTTTTTTAAAAATGCTGGTGCCCAGTCTGTGTGGCTCACTGGTTGAACATTGACCCATGCATCAAGAGGTTGCTGGTGTTGCTGGTTTGATACCTAGTCAAGGCACATGCCCAGGTTGTGGGCCTGATCCCCAATGGGGCACGTGTAGAAGGCAGTCAATCAATGTTCTCTCTGATTGATTTTTTTTTTTTTTTTTGGTACGTGCCCCTAGCGGGATAGAACCTGGGACTCTCTGGTCCACAGGCCAATGCTCCAACCACTGAGCCAAACTGGCCAGGGCCTCATTGATGTTTCTATCTCTCTCTCCCTCTCCCTTCCTCTCTCTCTAAAGTCAATAAAGAAAAAATATTTTAAAAAATATACTGTTCATAGTTTAAGGAAAATAACATTTCTCACATATGAATTATTATTATTAGTAGTAGTAGTATTTTTTGTTAAATTGAAACAACTTGATTCAGCCCCACAAGAGATTTCCCAGAACCTGGAAGAAACTCTATCCAGCGCATTGCAGACACAAAGCAGAGAGCACGCGAGAGAGATCACATA